CTGATGTCACTCCTATTCTCCTCGTACCTCGAGGGTCTATCCTGGTGTCCCTCCCTGGCAAGCGGCCAGCATCAGGGGGACAATGGTTAATCACCTGCCATTAACAGGTAATTGCAGAACTCTTCTTTCTTCTTTAACAGTGAAACTAACTTACAGCAACTGGTCCGACTTGTTTTTAACTCTGCAACCTAAAAAAAATATAACTTTCTATTCATAACAGGGCTCCTTTCCCCGGGCCGGGCCCAGCAGGTACCGGGGAGGAAGGTGTGGGTGCTGCCGAGCCCTGGGCGGAGCAGGGCACGCTGCGGCTGTGAAGATTCTTGTCCTCAAATGCCTCCCCCAGCACGGCTGAAACCGAAACCTCTACAGCCCACAGTCCGTACAGAGGGAACCCCACGGCCGAAATTAAACCCAGGAAAAACAAAGATCAACCGCAAAACCAGTCCTAACACAGTCCCAGCTGCAGCTCCCCATGACCTTCGTTTGCACAGTGGGTCTTTAAGCATCATGCTGACAGCTCAAGGACTTGCAGAAATCGTGCTAATCTCAAGAAACGAAAACCTTCCAGGATGTTTCTCATCTCAGCAAGGGCCTAAGGAAGCCCCCAGCACCAGCAGGAGATTGGGATAACTGCAAGGCTTGGTGACCCGGGCACTCTGACTGCTCTGCTGTGCCCATGGGTTTTGGGGCTGCCACAGCAGGTCCAGCAGCCAGGTGCCTTCACTGGCCAGACGTGGGAGATCACATTTCCCTGGCGTGGGACACGAGGGGCTGGAGGAGCACCCAGGATTCCAGCAGCACTGATTTTAGGACCATCTGCCCACAGGTGTCCAAAGTTCCATAATGCACCTTTCCAAGAGCATGGCAACCCCAGATGGATTCGAGAAGAATGCTTCACAAAGCTTTTAACTCCCTCTGGGTTCTTCTGCTTTATTGTTTTTCACAGATTCTTCCAGTGACAGAAGGAAGAACCAAGTTTGGAGAAAGAAAAGCCAGGTTTTCTCCCAGTTTTTCACATCCTAATCCTGGAAAGCTTTGGCAGCCAGACCTAAACAACCAACCTGCCAAAGTTCAGCTCCACTTTGAGGCCTCCTTATCAGCAGGTTTTTTTCACAGGCTATTTCTGTTTGCCTTTCCTCTCCAGGTATTTTATTGAGCTACAGCCAGCAAACATTCTGGGACCTTACCTTCAGGGTTTAGACCCTCCACAACCCCCTCACCTTTTTCCCCACACTGGATAAAGAACTAAAACTTCCTGTGTTCAGCAGGACTTTCATGCTCTGAAAATGTGCTTTTCTCTCACACTGCACTGCAGAGCACAAATCCCCCAGAGCCATAACATGGTTTGTGTTGGAAGGATCCTTAAAAACCATCCAGTTCCAACCCCCTGCCATGGGCAGGGACACTTTCCACTATCTCAGGGTGCTCCAAGCCTTGTCCAGCCTGGCCCTGGACACTTCCAGGGATCCAGCCACAGCTTCTCTGGGCCATGGGTTTCTCTGCCCATGCCAGGGGGTTGAGAGAAAATGGTCTTTAAGGTCCCTTCCACCTCAAACCATTCTATGTTTCTATAAAAGCTAAATGAAAATACTAAAGAGAAGGATATTTTCCAAGCTAAATATGGGGTATTTGTCCACAAAGACCACCAGAAGACGAAGTGAAGACACCACATATGGGAAACCTAAAACTGGAATTTTCCCAGGTTTCTCTCCGCTGGAGCTGCTGTGATTTTCTGATCACAGCAGTGGCCCAAAAGCCCAGTGGTGATGCAGAGCTGGGAGACGTGCCCTTGAAAATGCCAAAACACCAAAGTCCTGGAGTTCTGATCCCATATGCAGATCACTTCCAGAATGACACGTGAAGTGCCCCCCTCTTCCACTCCCCCATTCTTTTCCTGAGCTGCTTCACCACCCCTTACTTGGTGTCTTTAGAAAACAATTAAACTCAGCAATCAGAACATTCATGCATTAATAAAAATACTGTACAGTTAATGGGCCAAGGGATCTAGAGGTGGATTTCCTAAGCCCTTCCCCGTTTCTTTCTGGGGGTAGCAGTGCTCCCCATCCCCTCCAGCCTGGCCCTTTAAGTAACTTGAGCCTCCAGGCTGCAAATCCCAGTCTCCAGCTAAAAGGATGGAAAAGCTGCTTCCCCCCTCCCCCCTTCTGGGTCTTTTCTTTTGAAAGGAACTGTCTTCTATCCTGTGATGGGAAGAGAGAGATCTCCAAAAGACAGAGCAGCTCTCCGAGCATCCCCCTCCCGCATCAGGACAAATGGGCAGTTTCTCCCCACTCAATGCTTCTGGCAGCTCTTTTTCTTCCAGCTTTCCTCCCCTCCCTCCGGCCTTTGGCGAACCTCAGCTGATTTCCACACCCTCCGTGGCTGCTGGGGGCTGGTACAAAGGTTTAATTATTGTCCCTCTCTTGGGGCCCCACTGCTGGCACTGCTGATCTTGCCCACCTTTGCTGTGCGGTCCCTCTGTCCCCCCCTCCCTTCCCGGCTCCCGGAGCCCACCATGGATCCACAGGCACTCTGGGGATGCTTCTGCCTGCTTTGCTTTGCCCTCCTGAGAGCAGCAACAGGTAAGAGAGGCTTTGGGCTGGTTCAGGTGCGGGGACTCGACGGGGTCTGGATGCCTGGAGAGGTGAGATGCTCATCCCAGCGCTTCTCTCCCAGCCTGCAGCCAAGCAGGGAACAGGGACTGGCACACTGCAGACAGCATGAGCATCTCCTGAGGCCAGGCAATTTTGGAGATTGTGGAAGTCCTTTCTGGGGGGGTGGGGGGTGAGGAAAACCAGAGAGCTGGAACTTTTTAAACTGCATGCAATGCAGAACTGTAAAAACTCTTCAGTCTGTCTCACATAGGAAAGCCCCAAGGACTGATCTGGACTTGCATTGATTCATTTGTTGTTAAAAGTAGGAAAGCTGTAGAATATTTCAGAAGTCCAGCAAGTGCATCAAATTTTCAAGAGAACATCAAGTGACTTCAGAAAACAGATTTGACTGGTTTTGTCGTGGCAAAGGCAACCGTCCCACCTTCAATCACACTTGTATATGAGCAAGAGAAGGGACTTCAGATAAGTCTACAGACATAAGATTAAAGCAGAGAGTTTTGATCTAAAGCTGTCCCACCAACTTCATTTTGCCTTAGCACAGAGACAGTGATTAGATGTTCCAATGGAAAACTCATAATATGAAGGATTCAGCTTCTTTTCTCCCCTAAAAACATTTATTGTGCCCCAGTTAATGCCCAGTGCTGCAAAGGCACTGGAGGTATCCCTCCTGTCTGTGGGCATGCTCAGGAAACTTCCCTTCAGGATTAAAGTGTGTTTCCTTGGCATTTCTAGTCCTGAAGTGCACAGGCAGAGCTGCTGTTCCGGCCATCCTTTCTTTAAGGCAGGGCTGGAAACACAAGCAGGAATCAGCCCAGAGAACAGCCAAATATCCAAACCACAGGCACAAATAACTGTCCATGGCAACCTTCCCATCAGCTGGCCTTCCCCTCCCGGGGGGTGGAGTGACCCAGGTCATCAGCACCCCTGCCAGTCTGGGATGGAGGTGATCCATTGTCACCAATGAGTCAGGAAGGGGAATGGAAGTGACACAGCTCCATACTGATCAGAAGGCAAAAAACTTATTTTATTACATCTCACGATATTTATAACCAACATTGTTCATCCAGAACCTGACTGGTTCTTAATAACACCTGGCACCCAGTTGGTTAATTAAGGAACAGTTGCAGGGGTTTCTCTGATCTGGATGTAATTAGTATGGACTCTAAGATGTAGAAGGTTGAACTATTGTTTTATTTCTTTACACTATATTATTATTATATTTTAAAGAAACTTATAACTTTTTTTTAGTTTGTTTGATACAGCTTTGACCTTATTGGTTAACTAATTAAAACACCATTACTCTTTGGTAAATAAATCTCTGTAACACATTCTATATTTGCTTAGTATCAGGTGTATCAAGTGGAGATAAGAATTGCTTTAATTCTTTTCTCTGAGCTTCTCACAGCTTTTCATCCCAGAACGATGCCTGGAAACTATCCCTTTCTCTCTCTCAGCATCCACAATCCATGACTGCTTACCTTCAACGTTTCCATCTTTCCCCAGGGAATTTGCTGCCTTCTTTCCAGCCCAGGAGCCTGTATCAGTACCGGTACTCCCTGGCTGTCCAGCTGCAGCACAGCTCCACACCATCCCCGTGGGGAGCCCGCCTGCAGGCTGAGGCTCTGATCCGGCTGCAGCCGCTCTGGAGGGACCCGGGCGGGGAGGAGCTGCTCCAGCTGCAGGTGTGTGAGGGCTGCACAGCCATCCCAGGAGCTGTTCCTGCTGGAATGCTCCAGCTGCAGGGCTGGCACAGCCATCCCAGCCAGCTGTTGCTGCTGGGAATGCCCCAGGAGCTGCAACCCTGTTGGTTTCTCTGGGTCTGGATTGAAGGCACTCCAGACATTGGTTCATGTTCAGACTCAGGGGTTTGTTATTTCTTATCAGTGAAACAGTCTCACTACTGTGAGTTCAGCAGCAAGGCAGAAAATGGCCAACAATCTCTTGGTACAAGGTCTTTTAAGGCTAAACTATCCAATTAAGAACTGACGCCTAGATTATTTTCCCTTTTAACCCAATAACTGATCCCAAAGAACCCACAATGAGGACTTTTCTGCCCCATTACAAAATGCCACCCAAACACAAAAGAAGAAGAAGCATGAAGAAGAAACCCAGGACAGCACCCTATGCCCTCCATCTTGCTCCCATCCACAACATACCAAAAATCCCAAAAGCTAAATTTCTCACCAAGTGATACACCCACATTACTCTCTAGAATCTATTTCACACTTTTGCGGGTTCTAGCCTATCCTGAAGTCTAGGAAACTTTCTCCATGAGCGAGGGTCAGAGTCAGAGCTCCCCTGGGGTCAGGGCACCCCAGAGCAGACAGGGAAATAGTCTCAGTGCTTTCCACACAACCCCTTCCTTTGCTAGCCCACCCCAGCTGACAGATGACCTCTGACCAAATTCATTGCCTGCAGGTGAAATACACACCAGCTTTAGAGCAGACACTTGGTCACTGTTTTCTGTCATCTTCTGCTGTTGTAGATCCATGACCTGAAGGCCCAACACCACCCAGAAGAGGAGAGGAGCCAGGACAGCACCAGAGGCTCCCCTGCAGACATTGCACTGAGCCCAGAGGCACAGGCAGAGCTGCAGCAGCCAGTGTTCATCTCCTGGAACAGTGGGAAGGTCAGCTGGACACCTCCTGGGCTTGTTTGTGCCCTCTGCAAAGCATTCCTGTCCTCACCCTGAATTTTCTGGGCTATGAAGCCCATAGGAGCTCCTGCTCCACCTCTGATTCCAGAGCAGAAGGAACTGGACAGAGTGGCCAGTGTTGGACCCCATATGGAGTCCCATTCTCCAGAAGGACTCAGCTGGAGCTGCAGAATCCCATGCTAAAGCTCTCCATGGGATATAAACTCCTTTCTGGCCTTCTCCTCTAAGGCTATGGAACCCCAGAGTGGGAAGGAAAGGGAAATTTTGTCTTCTTGCATCCACAGACCTCATGCTATTAAGGGATAAAGGCCTTCTTGAGAAAATTCCTCAGGTGTCTACAGGGAGTTCTCAGGCTCCCTTTTGTCAGGGAAGGCAGCAGGGAGCCTGCAGGCACCCCAGAGATGTCCCCTCAGCCAGGCACCACCTCCTGTCCTCCTTCCAGGTCAAAGCTTTCTATGGGAATGAAGCAGAAAACATCTTGATCTCCAACCTGAAACGAGGCATCACCAGTCTGTTCCAGCTTCAGCCCCATGCTGGCACCACAGTGGAGGTAGGTGCAGAGCTGGGACCAAAAATCCAGGGATGCCCAGGAGAGCTGGCCCTGGAGCCAGCCCACAAGCTTCAGCAGAGGGAGCAAAATTCGGGATAAATAACATTGGGTCTGCTGCTCCAACCAGGCTGTGAGCAAGGATGACTCTTGGAAGGGCAGAAAGCTTAAAGTAACTTAATTTTCAGCAGTTGGCACCCCTCACAAAATCATGGCCTTTCCCTGAACGGTAGGAACAGCAGCAAAGAAACTCCACAAGTAGGATCTGCTTTGCCAGCAGCCAGCTGGAATGACCTGTGAGCAACATGAGATAACCTCAGAACCCCAAATGCAGTCACAGAGATGCTTAATTAAATCTTAATTTAGAGCCTGAATTTGCAAATATGCCCGCCTGGACTTGGAGCTACCCAACCACCCCCTGATTTGTCCCACATTCTAGATTTTAGATGCTGTTCCCTTTGCTAGGTTGGCCTTTGTGTCTGTCCTCTCCACAGAGTGTTTCATACTCGTGGTCAATCCACTTGTGTTTCAGGAAGATGCCTCTGGAAGCTGCCAAGTCACCTACACCGTGTCCAACCATTCCATCACCAAGACCAAAGATCTCCTCAGCTGCTCGAAGCCAAAGTCTGGATTCAGCTCCACAAACAAAGCAAGTCCATTGCTCTCACTGTGGGGGGCTCAGCTCACGCTGAGCACAGCAGGGCCACCCCTAAAATCCTTTTGCAGGTGGGCTTGGATTCCCATCCCCAGCTGGCTTCAGCCTTCTGCACCGGCTTGGAATGGGACTCTTAGAGCCATCCCCAAAGTGGGATGCACTAAGATCCCTCAGGAGGGCCTTGAGGTGGGGAGGGGCAGTAAAGGTGCTCTGGATCACCCCATCCCCACTCTTGTTATCAGTTCTGAGCTGTCAGCGGGTCCTGCTGGGGAAGGTGGACATGCAGGGATGTTTTCTGGGTCTCAGACTCATTGCATGGTGGATTAGTTTGACAGGAGTGTTTTGCTTAAAGCAGTAGCCTGTGTTCAGCTCTGACATAAACAGATGAAATCTGTTGGTCAGATGAAATCTGTGGGTCTTAATGCAGTCATACCTGCCATAAAAAAAAAAAAAAACAAACAAAGGGGTTTTTTTTAACGTACAAATTCTACTGAATTCAATATAAAAATGGACATTCCCATGGACACCCCACAGGCCCTGGCAGGGGTCTCAACACCTCCTTGTTGTGCAAGTCCCTGTGCTGTCAGCACTCTGTCTACCTGCATCAGCCACGGGTGGGAGCATCCCCTTGCTGGTCCTCACCTGGGGTTGCCTTCTCCCACATCTGGGAAGAAGGCAGGCTCTTATGGATTTTCCTTTCCCACATTTTGCAAGTGAAGCAGGTGACTTTGTGGGCTGGAAAGTTCTTTTTCTGCTAATGTAAAGAGAGAAATCTCCTGGGCAGAGGGCAAGGGGAAAAAAGGTTGCTTTTTTTTTCTCCTTGCTTTTCCTTTTCCAAGATTTTTGGAGTGGAGTGGCAGCCCTCCAGTAGAACCCAGTACATGGTGAAGAACAACCTGCTCCAGTCAGTCCTGGCAGAGGAAAGCCACGTGGTGGCTCCAGCCCTGAGATCCCGCTCCGGCATCAAAATCAGTTCCAGGTGAGGGATGATCCCAGCCACTGGCCATGGAGGGTGGAAGTCACAAAACTTTCCACTGATCATTTCTCCTCTCACAGGCAGCAGCTCCAGCTGGTGTCTCCTGCAACGCCTGGGCCAGCAGAGGTGTCTGGACAGAGCCTTAAGGATGTGCTGGCTGGCGTGGGGGCACAGCCCCAGCCCCTGGGCATGGCCAGCCTGCCCTTCAGGAGGGTCTGCACCCACTGCCCATCGGTCAGTGATGCTGCTGACCCCCAAAGCTCTCCCTCAAGCTGGGCACTTGTGGGCTTGGCGTTAAACCCCAGGGGTGATTTTGGAGGGGCTGCTTTGGTGTAAACATTATCCTGTGATAACATGGGAAAAGAGGGTAAGTCCCCCCTAACAAACCTCACCTCTGCAGCTGAGAGCCTTCCTGAAGGCTTTTGACAGGCAGAGAGTCAGAACAGACACCTCGAAGGGGGCAACAACCTGGCAGTTCCAGAGGTTCATCCAGCTGCTGCGCAGCGCCAAGAAGAGGGATGTGCTGCAGCTGCTGAGGAGGGCGCCCGAGGAGACGCGGTGAGAACCCCTGGAGACGCCTCTCCAAAATTCCCAGCACTGGGCAAGACAGCCAGGGCTGGTTGGCACTGCTCCATGCACCATCCCTGCTCCAGGCAGCCACCCTGACAAGTGGCAGTGTTCTCTGGCTTCTCTAATGCCTGTGCTGTCCAAGCACTGCATGGTCTTTGTGGGCCACTGCTGACTTCCCCCTTCCTGCTGCAGCCCCTTCCTGGTGGAGGCAGCGGTGGCCACGCAGTCAGTGGCTTCCTTGGCAGCGCTCTCAGACTTCCTGGACTTCAGCCAGGAGCCCAAGTCCCTCCTGGAGAAGTTTCTCTACACAGCAGCTTTGTCTCCCCGGCCTTCAGGAGAGCTTCTCCACCTGGTCTTAGTGAGTATGGACAGCTCTGTCTCTTCCCCGAGGGTCCTGCATCAGGGATGGATCCACACACCATGGAACAAGGGAAAAGTTTCTGTAGAAATTGATTTTCCTGCTCATGGGATTGTTTCATGTGCATTTAACGGGACACAGGTGATGGGAGTAGATGCTCCCCAGAGGAAAAGAATTCAGCAGAACGTGCTTTGTATCACTGCATTAGTGATAAATAAAATCTTGATTTAGAGCCACAGCATTTTATCCAATTAAATCATGCATGGCCTCCTTCAAGGCAGGTAAGAACTATTTTTCCCTTACTTGCTTGAGGTAAGAGGTAAAGCACACTCCTTCTCTTTTTTTTTTTTTTTCTCCTAATTTCTTTTTTTCCTGCTTCCTGTTACCCCTTTCCTGGTGCCCAGGACAAGCTGGATGGGAAGCAGCTGGCACCTGAGATCTGGGAGACAGGAATAGTTGCCGTGGGCTCTCTGGTGGGCAAGCTGTGCCAGCAGAAGCTCTGTGGGCTGCAGGTGGGTCCTCTGCAACCCCTCACACTTGGCTTTTTGGGACACTCCCCAATGCCCAGATCATCTCCTGTCCCTCACCTCCCTTTCCTCTGCAAATCCCGAGCAGGTGGTGGAGCGTGGGGTGGAAACCATCCTCAGGGGGCTCAGAGGTGCCGAGCAGCAGCCCCAGGTGGTGATTTCCCTGCTGGCCCTGGGGAATGCGAGGCTCCCCGGGACCATCCCCACCCTCCTGGAGCACGCCGAGGACGGTCCCACGGCTGTCACCGCCGCAGCCACCTCTGCCCTGCAGCGATTCTCCGCGCCCCACATCTCCAGCAAGGTAGCAGAGGAGGTCCTGAGGCGTGGTGCACCCCTCCCCACTCAAAGCCGAACTGCTGGGGTGCACTTGCACTCTTTTAATTACCCCTTCTCATCAGGTGAAGCGAGTGATGAGGAGGATTTTCCACCAGAAGAGGAAGGGTTATGACAAAACCTGTCGCCTGGCGGCTGCAGAAATCCTCCTGGATAACCACCCCCTGCCAATGGATGTGATCAACATCCTGCTGGCCACCAGCGAGATGGAGACAGAGGTGGCCACGTTCCTGCTGCTCAAAGTCCAGAACAGGCTGCGTGACCACCAGCACCTGGCAAGGTGGGGCTTGAGGGCACGGCTGCGTTTTCCTCTCTGCTCTGCATCACCCTTTTCTCCTCCTCCACAATCCAGCTGTGGGGTTTGGACCAACAGGTCTTTAAAATGTGCTAGCATCACCTTGTGGCGGCTGCCTGGACATTCCTGCAGTAACAAAAGGGATGCAGATGGCTTGCAGCCAGGCAGAACCTGACATTCCTTGTCATCTTGTCATCCTGCCCCATGGCAGCAGGACCCAGGCTTGTGGCTTCAGCAGAGTCCTTGGAGGCTGAAGCTCTGGCTCCCAGGGCAGTGCACAATTTGTACCTGCATCAATCTTCCTGTCTGCACAGAACAAACCAAGCACTCACGTTTTTCAGAGCTGAGCAAAAGCTGCACAAAAATATCTGTTTGGTTTGTCCTAATAAGCCAGAGGAAAAGGAAATTCCAGGGTAGCCCATATCTACGGCTTTCATTTTAACCTCACGCTGCTCTGGGCAGTCAGCAACCACGAGAAATACTTTGGCAAATTACATTTTCTTCTGAAGTGACCACTGACCTTTTCCTTCCCTCCCAGTGCTAACATATCCTTTCTCTCTCTTTTCCAGGAAGATAATGAAGGACATCATGGGAGACCCACGGATAAATAATTACAACTTCTTCTCTAAAGTCGGCATCTCCTCTTCTTTCTCAGGACCTCTGGCAGGTGACAGCACAGAGGACACCATGGTCCCTCAGAGGGTTAAAGGAGGGGTTGGTGGGGAAAGGCAGCTTCCAGAGGAGGATTCCGGTCTATGGAATGCCCCAAAACCTCAGGGAGGTTTCTGAGAATGTCCCCCAGCAGCAGCTGGCTGCCATCACCTGAGACAGGAACATGCCCTTCTCTAACACAAACTTTTCCTAAATCCTGCTGGTTTGAAAGAGGAGCTTCAGCTGGAGATGAAACCAACAGCAGATTGCTTGTGGGAGTTTCTGTGCTCTCCCTGACAAGTCAAGATATTTCACTCCATTCCTCAGTTCCTTTAGTATTTTTAATAAGATCTTCAGAGAGGAGGATTCTTGTACTGAGATCTAAAAGAAAGCATCAAACTTCAGAGACTGCAAAAAGCAGGACTTAGTAAACATCTGCTGAATTCTTCATCCCTCATTTCTGTCCCTCTTCAAATTGACTTCAAATTGCCTGGCCTTGCAGAGGGTCAGTGAAGGTGAAATAGCCAGGGAGAAAAAAAAAATCCAACCATGCAATGCTGAATTATTTGAGTATTGCAAGAATGAGAGAAGATGCAGAGTGCTACCATAGGTCTGGGTTGGAAGGGACCTTAGAGATCATCCTGTGACCACCCCCTTCCACCAGACACCCAGGGCTGCTCATGGGCATCTCTTTGCCTTTCAGTCACCCAGGACCTGACCTCCACTTTCGGGCTGGACCTGCTGTTTTTGGAGGGTGGATTCCTGAGGAAGAGCGTCTCCGACTTCTCCCTGCTCAGCCACGGCCAGCGGCTTCGTGCAGCTCAGGTGCTGGCAGGAGAGGGGCTGCAGGGGGATGGCAACACAACCCAGGGGTGCCACTGCTGTCCCTGTGTCCCCTCTTCACCTCCTTGTGGTGCTCCACCTCTGTGCTCAGAAAAAGGCAAATTCCCAAGCCACCGGTGTGAAAATCCTGCTCTGGAGAAGGGGGCCCCCTGCTGCCCCAAAAACCAGAGGGTGCAACACTGGCACCTCGGGGTGCCCAGGGATGCCTCACCCAAGTCACTCCACTGCTGATGTCCTGCTCCTGCCCACTTCTGTGTTCCAGGTCACCTTTGAGGCACAAGGGATGGAGTCGATGATGGGAGAGAGCCTCTCGGGAGGGGAGGAGCAGCCCGAGCTCATGGCTGGGATGTCGGCCACCTTCTTCGACGTCCAGCTGCGGCCAGTGGTCTTCTTCCAGGGGTACACAGACCTGATGGCCAAGGTCCTGCTCAGCAGTGGAGAGCCCACCAGCGTGGTCAGAGGGAACCTCCTGCTGATGGACCATCACCAGGTACTGCGTGGGGAGGAAGCGGTGGCCTGTCTCCACACCACATCCCAGTGAATCCAGTGAAATGAGCCTGTGGATTCCACACGCCACAGACACAGATCCAAGAGTGAGGTGGCACTGCCAGATGTGCCCTGGGGTTGGTAAAGCAGTGGGGTGACTTGTTCTGCCATGGGAGACCCGTGGCTGGAGTTGCAGGGTTGGGATGGACATTCCCAGCAGCCACAAGGCCCTGCTGGTGCCAGCCACTCATCCAAGAGCAGTGCCTGGCCACAGGAAGCCCTGCCTTTTCCATCCTCCAGGTCATTCCTCTGCAGTCTGGCCTCCAAGTGACCGTCAAACTCCAGGGTGGGCTGGGGCTGGACATTTCAGCTGACATGGACGTGAGCATTTGGGAGCAGGAGCTGAAAACCAGCGTCAATGCCAGGTCAGCTTGGCTCTGGGAATGGGAATACCAGGGGGCAAGGGTGGATTCACACAGCTCCCTGATCTTCTCCTGGTGGGTCCAACCTTTCCTGCTGCTTACACAGACATTTTCCATGGCCAGACCTCTAACTGAGGTGTTCACGGAGTTGTTTGGTGCCCAGCTCAGGCCATGGCTCTGTGACCAGGCCCTACGTGCTTCTCTCTCCCAGGGGAAGCCTTGCCATGGATTTCCAGGCAGAACTAGATTCCCCTTTCCTCCAAGCCACCCTGAGGAGCCAGACAGAGGTGGAGACCTCCATCCACTTTGACACCAAGCTGAGGTTTTCCAGCAGCCCCGTGCTCATGTGCCTGCAGCTGAGAGAGGAACAGGTCCCATACAGGTAGCACCAGATCCTGCAGAAACATCCTGCTGGGCTTGAGATAAAGGAGGACTTCTTGGGAAGAGGAGAGGATTAGTGGTTGCACTTACTGGGTGGGAATTGGTAGGGATGAGGGAAGGGCACCACAAATTCCCAATGTGGGTGGAAGCACCATCCATAAGACCATCAGGAGATGGTCTGGGAGGTGAAGGATGAGATCCAGCACAGGCTCCTGACCACCCTGCTGTCCCTGTGTCCCACAGAGAAGTCCTCACAGTTTCCCAGGCTGCTGGCAGCCGGAGCAGCGCCACTCGCAAAGGCCGGCGTGGCACCGTGCCCGGCAGGGAATTTGCCTTGCACCAAACCAATTCCAAGCTCTGCAACCTCCTGCTGGCTGCAGAAAAAGAATGAGGAGTCAGAACGCTTTGGGATTCTCCTCCACAACCACCTCTGAATGAGAAAAATGCTGCGATAAGGACATCAGAAGGGAGCACAGGAGGAGCTGCTGAAGAACAGACACACCCCTGCCTCCAAATCTGCCCTCACACCCCAAAGGCTGAGATTTCCCTCTCCTGGACTCCTCCCCTTCATGGGGAAAGGCCTTGCTGGAAGCCAAGCTTTTCCTCGTGAAAAAGAGACTTATTTTGCAAGTGGATGAGTTTCTCAGAGCCCAAGAAACCCTCCTGGAGGACTGCATCCCAAAATGTTGTGTTTTCTCCCTGTTTATCAAAGCTGTCAGGAGGGGACACATCTGCAGCCAGCTGGAAGTCCCCAGTGAAGGGAATAAATGACTTTCCTTGGATGGGAGGTTGGCCTCCCAAGCTGGATTGTTATCATCCACCACCACCTCCAACACTGGAGTGAGGCTGGTGAGGAAAAAGCAGCATTTCTCCATTCCTTCCTGATAGTAATGTAATAATGCCTTGGAAGTATTTTTAGACCTTTTTGTGTGTTTGTGTTACAAAACAAGCCTTTTAGGAAAGAAAAGAGGGATATGGAGTATAGTTTTTTGGGTTTTTTTAATTATGAGCCTCAAATATTAGCACTGAGTCCTGGTTCAGTGGAGCAGACTTGCCTGGTTTTCCATCTGGAGACACGAATTACAAGCACCTTGGTTATGTACAGAAATAAATGCCCTGTATTTTCATATTGTCTCTGTTTGACTCTTAACTTTCCTGGACACATGGAAGGGCAGAAGGGAGAGGCACTCCCAGCAAGACCCTGCTTTCTAGGTCTGTATTTAGGGTGCTCCCTTTCCTCTTCCTCCTCCTCTACAGACTGACAAAGGCAGATTTGTCATCCAGCTGATATTTACCCCAAATCAGCTCAACTTCTAGTCCCAAAGGATACCTGTCCTGCCAGAGGGACCAGGTCCTGTAGCTGGGCTTGGAGTTGGGAATGTGTTTCCAGACCCTTTGGAAGGGGTGAGGACATTTGAATGTGGATTTCACCAGTTTGCATGGCTGCTGGAAGCTTTGCTGTCCTGCTGAGCTGCTGAATCATGAGGTTTTCCAAGGCCTTTTGGTTCCCCAGTCCTGGTTAGATGCTCAAACAGCAATGAAGGACCATGGGCCTTTTGGTAAAGCCACCCATTTCCTTGGCAATGGCTCCAAACCCGTCCAGCAGGGACCTTTCAGCCCCAGGTCCCCAGGAAAGGTGACACTGTGCCCGCAGAGCTGGAGTGGAGTCACCTCAGTTTGGGTGGCCAGAAAGGGACCTGGGCCTGGGTGTATTTTATCCAGCCTGTTACAGTGCTTGACAGCCCTGTCTGTGAAGAAATTTTTCCTCATTTCCAGCCTCCCCTGGCCCAGCCTGAGGCCCTTTCCCCTTGTCCTGTCCCTGTTCCCTGGCAGCACAGCCCGACCCCCCTGGCTGTCCCCTCCTGGCAGGGAGTTGTGCAGAGCCACAAGGTCCCCCTGAGCCTCCTTTGCTCCAGGCTGAGCCCCTTCCCAGCTCCCTCAGCCCCTCCTGGGGCTCCAGCCCCTTTCCAGCTCCCTCAGCCTCCCAAAGAGCCACTCCATCCAGCAGCAAGGGGAAGGGACAATCGGGCAGGGTTGGAGTGCCAGCTGTGACCCCAGGGACATCCCACAAGCTCAAGGGACGGACCAGGGCTGACCCTCGGCAGCCCTCACCCCTCTGAGCCGGGTTTTGGGTGGCAATGCCGTCCCCTCCTGGCTCCAGGCTTGCCAGCACAAGCAGTTTTCCGTGGTTTTTTCCTTATTGCCAGGACATCCCCTCCAGCCCTCAGGAGAGCACATGGACACCTCCCACCAAGTGGGGCGATAAAACATTATCTGTCTGTCTGCTCCAGCTGGCTGCAGAGACAAAACTACCACGAGAAACAGTGAGGGAATGCATCTGGAAAATGGCAAGGATTGGCTCTGCTTGGGAATTTAGTGGAGAGGCAGCTCTGAAGTGCTGGGGCAGAGCTCTCTCTGCTCAGCCACTGCTCTCTCCTTCCTAGGCAGCCTGAAATACAAAGAATTGTATTTCCTGACTGCTGGACCCCAAACTCCATGAAAAATTAAAAAATAAAAAATCAGCTTGTAAGTCACCAAAGCAGCAGTGGAAATCCCAGCACTGAACTGTGGCAGCAGCAAGCCTCACGTGAAGCTGCACATCCCAAACCTCCACTGCAGGGCTGGCAGCTGCCTTGGGCCATGCACATCACACCAGGATCCCTGCAGGGCTTTCCTGGGACATGCACAGCTTCTCTGACAGCCACAGTGGCATCAGTCTGCAGCATCCCAGGAGCAGCAGCTGGCAGGGTTGCTGTTATAACCTGCCCAGCAATCCAGGGATGCAGGAAATCTCCCAGGAATGCAGGGAGAAAGCTGGGAAGGTGCAACAGGACACAGCTGGGCAAACCAGAGCAGCTGTGCCACGAGGAGATCCCTGCAGGAAAAGCTGGGGAGGAAAGCTCAGGGCCAGGGCTAGTGAGTCAGGCCTGGGAAGTGGCTGAGCTGAGCCAACAAGGCTCCAGGGCTGAGATTAAACCCTTTGGCAAAAGCCATGGGAAAGAAAGCTGAAGCTTTCCTAGAAAACTGTTCCACCCACTCCATCCTGGCCAGGAGTATGGAAGGGATGCAATAGCTGCTGTAGGAAAATGAGCAGTGCAAAAGGTGTTTGGAGACACAGCCATAATTCCAGCTCTGGTGGGGACAAGCACCTGCTCTGGCCCATCTCACAGAACCCAAATCCCTGACTGGTTTGGGTTGGAAGGGACTTTAAATCTCATCTCATCCCACCTCCACCAGACCAAGTTGCTCCAAGAGCCATCCCACCTGGCCTGGCCATCCCAGCAAGAAAAGCCACAACCACGCCAGTTGCAAGCCTCTCCTACCCCTTAAAAACCCAAAAATCCCTCCTTGCCCAAATATTGTGGCTGCTGCAGCCTAAATGCCTGAAGGTGTGATGAGCTGTAGTGATGCTGTGTGGAAGGAAAGCACCCAACAGAGAGGTGGAAGAGTTTTCCCGTGGTAAAATCCAAGCAGGGTTTGCAAAGCACTTGTAAAAGCAGGCCCTGCAAAGATCCAGAGGAATCCAGGGTGGCTGGGTTTTAAGGAATGACCTGGTGGGGGTTGGGTCCAACCTTTTGGGAGGGGCCATAAAAACCACAAGGGGAAGGACAGAGTGACTTCATTACAACCAAAAGTAGTGGTTCCACCTTCACTCTGAGAACCAGAGGTCTGCAGGAGGCATTTAAAAGGGTGTAAAGCAGGGAAGATGAAAATAAAGCCCTTTTTGAGGGATTGCAGCAGCCTCAATGACCAGAAATGAAGTCAACCACAACCACAATGAAGTCAATCACCAACACCTATGAGGTTTGCACAGGTTTGCACACTCCATTTTGTGTGAGGTGACTTTAGAGCAGCTCCCACACACCCTGAGGGCAAAGCCTCATTGTTCTCACCTCCCTCCCGTGCAGCTGCCACCAGCTGCCCATTGCCACCATGGTCCTTGGCAAGAAGGGGCACAGGGGACCAGCCAAGTGTCCCCTGCCAGCCGTGCCCTGCAAAGGGCAGGAAGCAGGCAGGGAGTGCTCCTTGAGAGGGAAGCTGCTGCTCTGAGGATGGAGTGCAGCATCCATGAGCTGGGACAACTGAGGCAGCACCAAACCTTGTAAGAGTTTCCCTAAAAACCCCAGCAACAGGAACTGGTTTTTGGCATCAAACAGGAAAAGGGGGGCTGCCAGAACACACCCTGACACTTCCTCTCTGGCCTCATCCCCACCCTGCTTTCACTTCTTTATGTTTTTTACCTGGCCATGGCATCAGGGGCTCTTTTTGGCATGAACCACTGATATATCAATATTTATTTCTGCACTTGCTTAACTATTTATGTATCTATATATGTGTATCTCTAGAGATTTTCTTCCTCCTCAAAACAGCAGTGTGAAATTCTGGCTGATAAAGAGGAGGGACTGGGTTGAAGTAACACAAAGTAAATCCATTTCAACAACCACACATAAGTCATGCTCATATTTCCCCCTCCATACACACATCCCCAAAACAGATCAACAGCAAGAGATTTTTATGTGGATTTATTTTACTTTTTTTACATTATGTTAGAGTTCAAAAAAAAAAAAAAGAACCCAACAAAATTAATAAATATTAAAAGTTTAAAAGCTCTGAATCTCATATGTACAAAACTTTATACATCATGGTAACACTGGACAAGGTTACAGCACAGGAACGACTCCATGCACCCACCTGGCTTAGGAGGGTGCAGGGGATCAGAGTCATCCTCTCCTCCTGGAGACAGGACCAGAGACAGGACAAAGCCACCCAAGCTCAGCCTGCCTTCAACTGTAATAAATTCCCCACCCCTGGAAGTGTCCAAGGCCAGGATGGAGCAGCCTGGTCTAGTGGAAGGTGTCCCTGCCCACGGCAGGAGGGCTGGAGCTAGATGGACTTTACAGCTCCTCCCAACCCAAAGCACTCCAGGAATCCACGAAACACGCAGTGCTGGGTGCCAGCCCTGCAGCAGCAGCACCCCAGAGCTCCCACTGCTCCTGGGGGAGGTTATCACAGCCTGCTTCAGATCTCCCCCACCCCTCAGGTGGTCCTGAGGTCAGGATCAGCACCTGCAGTGCAGCCCAGGGACTGTGGGTGCAAGGCTGGGGCAGTGCCCAGCCCCAGCTCTGCCCCGAGGTGTAGGGAGGAACCACTGCAAATATTCCTTAAGCAATAAAGCACCAAACCTAGGCCAGCACAGAAGGGAGGGGAGCAGCTGGGAATTCTGGAGGAAGGACATCACAGCCTGTTTTTGAGGGGAAAGAAGGTCTTTTTGTTATGCTCCTTGGAGAGCAAACAAAGCGTTCTCTTTGGCACAATAAATAAATGCTGGCACTCCCGTGGAGGGGCTGGCAAGGGGCACGGCAGGGTGGAGGGATGAACCCCACCCTGGTGTCCCCACAGGATCCCCTGTGGGTGCCAATACCTGCCTGTCCTGGGGCTGGGCACTCCACAGGCACCCTCCATGTGCCCACTCCCACGAGGTGTGCCAGCTGTGTGGCTCAGACAGATGGGGGGCTTTGTTCCATGTTTTGGGATGCCCACCTAAGGCCAAAGGGAGGCTGAGGACCTCCAGCCCCAGGTGCTTTAAGAGGAGTTGGAAAAATGCTCATCCAGCTGTGACTCGGCAGCAGGAGGGTGTGGGGAAGCTCTGGGGGAGCAATGCAGAGCCCAATGCTTAAAACATCCAGAATGCAGAGGGGTCTCCATCCATTTCAGTCACAGCAAGCACCTCAACCCTGTCACAAGCCATGCCAGACTGGGAAAATCACCCTGGCCACCTCACCACAAGCCCTGGCTACCTGCAGAGCTCAAACGCTGTCCCTAGGGATGCCACATCCTGCTCCTTGGATACCAGGGGAGCGGGAGCCTCAGGGCCAGCACCCACACCATGCACGTGCTCCCAAGGACATCCCACTCTGCAATGCCAAACTGGTCTGTCTGCCAAGCCTTGCCTTCCTGGGACTCCACCTCCCCGTTCCCAAAACTTCCACCCCCACCTTCCCCTGCCACTGTACCAGAGGTGCCCTAAGCACCAAAACCATGGAAGCCCCCTCAGGGACACCATTTTTGGGAGGTTTTTGAGGACAGAAACTTGTCAAGGCAAACCCTGTGCCCAGAGCTGGCCCAGGATCCAGCAAGGAGAGGGCAGCCCAAGGCTCCTAAAGTGCTGTGCAAACGTTTAGTACTTGGCACAATAATTTGTAATGGCACTAATCACCCCCCTTCCACCCCTTCCCAAGCAATGAGAGATGCAGATGAATCCTTGTCTCTCTCCTCTCCTTGTAACTGCCCTAAAATCCACTCCTGGCTTCCCAGTCACTCCCATTTCCCCTGGAAGCTGTTGCTGCCCCAGAGGCACTGGGTCCATGGTGCAGGGATGAGGCTGGTGATCCTGGTATCAGCTCAAGGCTGGCCAAGGGCAGTACTGGCTGAAAAAAAGTCACCCCCAGGTAACAGGCATTTTTGACATGAATTTTTGGTCTTTGACCTGCGATTCTTATTGCTCACTTTGGAATCTCCTGGACCATCTCCTGCCTCCAGGACTCTATGCTAGTCACGCCACCTTCCCCCAGACATGTTTCCCAAACTCTCTACCCCACCAAGGACAGCTCAAAGCAGCAGTTTGGGATTTCCCCACATTCCCCCTCTCCTCACCTCACCACCTCCCCTCCAGTTTTCCCCAGCAGATTCCCAGGATCCTCCCATTGCTATTCCCAAGCTCCAGGGCTGAACCACCAAGCCAGGACCCATCCTGTGCTGCTGCTTGGAGCAGGGGGAAGGAAAACGCAACATTAAAGCCATCCCCCTCCCACATCTTTTTAGCACCTTGGGAGGAAGCAGCCTGTCTACCCGCAGCTTTTTTTTGCTCTTTTCCACCTTTCTTCCCACAGTACTGCCAAAAAGCACCATGGCACAGCTGGGAGGGCAAGCAGGACCATGGGAAATGAGTGGTTTGCCCAGGAATTTCTAGGTGTGGAGCCAGGTCATTCCCAAACCCGGCAGTGCCACCCATGAAAACCATCACTGGAAGTTGGGGGAGAGGAAAAAGATGGAGAGAACGGGAGGGAAGAGGGAGAAAGGCTTTCCCAGCCCCACAGCGAGGTGTCCCCAGCAGGTTACCTGGCCCCCTGGCCCCTTCCCGGCTCCCTTGGGGCTGGCAGCTCCCCTGGAAAAGCACCACTGCTGGATACCCCCGGTGCCACAGTGGGGTCCCCAGCAGGCTCCCCCCGAGCTGGGGCAGTGGGGTAGGGGAGGAGCTCCAGAGCAGGGCTGGGAGTGGTGGCTCCCGGGGGAATGCTGGTGACAGGGGGTGAGCCAGTGGAGGAGGAGGAGGAGGAGGCTTTCTTCCCACAGGATTCGCAGCAGAGCTTGTTGTATCCAGGGATGGAGCAGTAGCGAGCCAGGACCTCCATCTGGCAGAAGATGGACTTGTCCCCGAGGCAAGGCTCCCCTGGAGAGGGACAGGGCAGCACAAATTCAGGTGGCATTAGGCTCCAGCCCTGCACCCCTCCCATGGGAATCCCAAAGGGAACAAGGCACCCTTTCAGGGTGCTGCCTATCCACAGAGGAAACGGGCAAGAGGGACCTGGAAAATGAAGCCAAAGTACTGAAGGATTCTGTTCATGGAGAAAAAACAGAGAGCAAGGGATGCTCCAAACCAAGATGCACTGAGCCCCAGCCATGAAGGACTCCAAGGGGAAAAAAACAGAAGCCATTTCCCTGCTTAAAAAATTCCAAGGTAAAGAGGGAAGGGCATAAAAACCGGGAGGCAAAGGGAGCTCAGCACGGAAGCTGCAGGACCCCGTACACCACAAGGTGGCAATGGAGCATCGCGCTTTGGAGCAGAGGCTTCGGGGATGCAGCAGCGGAGGGTGGAATCCCCAGCAGCACCGCTGGCTGTGCTCCCACCTCTGCCCTGCCCGCAGGGAGCTGCACAACTCCTCGGGAGGGTTATCCTGGCAAGCACCGCCCTTACACGAGCACTTACTGGAGGAGATCTTGCTCACGGGGTTTTTGGCTCCGTCCTGGGGCACCCGCTGCCCTTTGGTGGTGCCGTGGTCGCCGGCATCGGCACTGGTGGTGATGCCAGAGAGCTTCCCTGCAGAGAGAGCACCACGATGCCCAGCAGCCACGGGAGGCTGAGGGCACTCAAAGTACCTCGGGAGGGTGTTTGGTTTGTTTTATCTTGATTTTATCTTTGATTTTATCTTAAGGGATCTCCTTAAAAATTAAATCCCTTAAGCACACAGCATTTAAGCCACTCAAATGCCACCCAAGACAAACTTGAGGGTGCCCATCTCCACCAGCTCAAACCACCAGAAAACCCAAAACCAGACAATGCCAGGGCTAAGAGCAGAGAAGGGAAATATTTTGGCTGGCTGAAATTTATTTTTTTTTTACTGCCAGCCGCATCAGGGACGTTCAACCCAACCTTGTCCGCTGGCATCCCCTGAAGCCACAACGGGCTGGAGGCGTTCGTGGGGGTTGATCCCCACCTGCACATGCCCCATCCCAGTGCCACCTCCTCCTCCTCCTCTCACCCGGGCAGACGGCCATGTGGCAGCCCTGGATGGCCTCTGGCTTGTCACCCTCGCAGCGCGCGCCGCTGTCGCTGCCCTTGCACACCACCTGCCGCTGCTGGACGCCTTCCCCGCAGGTCACCGAGCACTGCACCCACACAGACAGACAGACAGACAGACGGTCAGTGACAGCGTGGGGACAGCCCCACACCCTCCCAGCCCCCCAGGATGTGCTGGTGACTGTTCCTCAGGTGGATTTTGCTTTCTGATGGGGGGTTTCCCTCCCTGTCTCCCAAAACCCCACACTCTCTGCACAGGGATGCTCTCCCCTCTCTCATTTTTCCTTGTACCCGTATTCCCAGAAGTTTTCAAAGCCAGGCTTGGAGCAACCTGGCCTAACAGAAGGCGACCTGACCAAGGCAAAGGGTTGGAATGAGATGGGCTTTAAGGTCCCTTCCAACCCAATTCCAGCGTTCTGTGAAAACACCACTGTGTTTTGTACCCTTCTCTCCACCAAGGCCAGGCAGGATGGGACTCTGAGCAACCTGGCCTAATGGAAAGCATCCCTGTCCACGGCAGGGGGGTTGGACTATAGATGACCCTTACAGCTCCCTTTGAACCAAACCAGTCGAGGATTCTACTCCCTGACCCCTACAAGCACCTGAGCTCCACACCCACCTCCCGTCCCCTCCTCCCAGGGGTTTCCTCACCTCGGACCAGGCTCCTGTCCTCCACTGTGCGGGGCAGGGCAGGCGGCCGCAGGGCCGGCGCGTCTCGGGGCGCTGCCCGGGGCAGTATTTGCTGTGCAGGGTGCGGTTGCTGCCGTCCTGCAGGCGCTGCATGCACTGCACCGCCCGTGCCTGCACCCCCAGCTTCCCGCAGGAGCGGCTGCAGGCACCCCACTCCTCGGCCACCCACCTGCCAGCGTGGGAAGATGGACAAGGAGAAGGCGTTTGAGGCGATGGAAGCGGCTGGAAACGCTCCCGACGCGACCCAGGAGGAGTGGGAGCACCTCGGGCCGCACAGAGAGGACTCACATGGGCTGGGAGCACTCCTGGAGGTTACAGCGCCTCCGGATTGGCTTGGGCTTCTTGCCGTTGTCACAGAAGTTCCTATGCACCATCCGGTTGTCGCTTTTCCGACGGCAGCCGTACTTGGTGTACTGGATGCCTGAGGGGGCAGAGCGTGGGCGGTGAGGTGATGGGGGTAGGGGTCCCTCCAGGGTCCCCCAGGTCCTTCTCCTGCGCCCCTGCTGGGATATGTGCTCTGAGATGTCACCACTCGGGCGGGAGCCAAGGTTGGCTGAGGATGCTCGTGCGGCTGCTGGACCCACCCGCCGGGTCCCCAAGGCTGTTGTGGAGTGCACACAGCTTGTGGAAAATGTCCCAGCCCATGGCAGGGGTTTGGATCAGGTTTTGGACCTTTAAAGGTTCCTTCCAACCCAAACCACTGTGATTCCCAGAGCACAAGGTGCTCCCCACGACCTGAAGGTCACATCCCAGTGCCATATGGAAACAAGGCTCTCACCAGCAAACCTCACGCCTACTTCTGTGCAAACTTTGGTAGTGGTCATCTTCAAAATCACTGTTTCTTGGCTCAAATCCAGTTAAAAACAGCCAAGGAATTCAAAAATTCTAGCAGGTCCATGGATAGACAGACAAAGGTACACACACGCAATCATGCAAGCCTGTTTCTGTAAGAAATACGGCTAAAATGCTCACTTGAACTGCTTTGCAACCATTTCTCCTTGCCAGAGATGCCTCAAGGGGCTCACGCACCCTCTGCCACATCCAAGCACCCCCCAGGCATGCCCTGTAGGCTGTTATGAAGAGGAAGTTACCTCCTCCACATGCCTTGGAGCACTGGGACCAGCTCTTGAGGGCCCACTCGTAGGAATCCATCTCCTCCAGCAGGACATTGTTATTGCCAATCATGGGCAGCAGGTCTTCGTGGATTATGTACCTGTACATGAGGCTGCTCCTCACCTCCTCCTCCTGAGGGACAACCTGCAGGCACAGAGGGAGCAGAGAGGGGGAAGAATGATGACACAGGAAAGGGACCACAGGGCAAGGTGGCCTATGACCAACTCTGGGACACACGGATGGATGGGAGCACAGACCTGCCACTCCCAGCATGTCCAGGGAACCCAATCTCTAATTCCCCACATACCAGCACAACTAAAATGGGAATTGGAGTCATAAGCAATTGCTGCAGAGCAAAATGCAGCTGAACTCAAAGGCAAGTGCCCGAGCAGCATGTGCCATTCTCTCATGCAGCTGGTCACCCCTTGCTTTTGGCTGGCTCATTCCCTGGATTTAGTGACATGCCCTCTTCCTCTACCCACATCCCTCCATCACCTGCCACATCACACCTCAGACCACCTCCCCTGTCTGTGACAGTCGTCCCCAAGCCCCCCCAGAGCACGTGCCAGCCAGGCTTACCAAAACACTGATGGCCTCGTGCAGGGGACCACTGGTTTTCAGGCTCTCCTTGCCTTGTTCCACAGTGTATTCCCACTCCAAGCCCATCTCAATGAACACTTGGCTTTTGGCTTCTTGGCCCTTGGCATTCAGGATGAAGTTCCCCGTGGCTTGATTCTTCACAGCTGGAGGAGAAAAGAGATATTTTCAATATCATTCCCTCTGGTCACTCACTTTGGAGGGTGGGAATGACCTAAACAAGACCCTCTTTGGTGGGAATTATGAGAAAAGGGTTGAGAAAGGGTGAAGGGAGAGGTGCACTAGGGCATGCTGACCGATGCTGTGGGATGCTGGCTCCATCTCTTCTATCTGAAGGTGCCTTGCTCCAGCTGGGATCTCAAACATCTTCAAAACACCTGAAAGGGAGGGAAGAAGGATGAAGGGAAGAGAAAGAGCAGGTTTCCTCCAACTGGACACACAAATCCAGCTCATGAATCTGCTTCCAAACCCACCCAGCCCTCTCACCTGGCTGCTTGGGGGTCTTGGCCAACGTGCCCTTCACCGTCCGGCAGTGGGAATTGTCCCCCCCGCAGACCCCACACTTGTCATCCTGCTTCAGGGAGCCAACCTCCTTGTCACAGCCGACGTGCTGGCACCCGGGGGACAAGAGAACAAGCCTGGGGTTACATGTCTGAGGCCCAGGTCGGAATTACAGCCCTGCAGCCCAGCCCGGGGTTACTGCCCTGCAATTGCTGCACACAGGCTTGGTCCCCAGGGACAGAACCCCGTGCCCCCAAGGGGCTGAGCTCTCTCCTGGCCAGGGAAAGGACAGGGCCAGCCCCACAAGAGCCCCTCACCACCTCACCAGGCACTCGCCCCGGACGCAGACGCTGTAGGGGTCTCGGTAGCTGCAGCGGGTCCCGTCGTGAACAACCTGGTTCATGAACACCACGTCTCCCGTGCCCTCAGACTGGCAGATCAGCTCACACTTCTGAGCATCTGTGGCAAAGGAAAAGGGAAGGGGGAGAAAAAGAGAGGTGGGGGGGGAAAAAGGGGTCACGGAAATTCATTAGGGTGAGTGAAGACAGAAACTCAGCTCAACCCCTGAGCACAGCTACAATTCCAAAGCCCAGGATATTCATGTGGCTGATCTTGCAAGGCCACTTGCAGCTCAGGAGCCTGCACTTTTTCCTAGTACACTCAGGAAGGACAGGACACACTCCATGAGGCTGCAATGCAAGTTGGCAGCTCTGCTCTGGAAACAGGCTGGGAGTGTTCAGCCTGGAGAACAGAAGGCTCCAGGGAGAACTTAGAGCCCCTTCCAATGTCTGAAGGGGCTCCAAGAAAGCTGGAGAGAGCCTTTGGATGATCTCCCAAGGCCACTAGCAGCTCAGGAGCCTGCACTTTTTCCTAGTACACTCAGGAAGGACAGGACACATTACAGAAGGCTGCAATGCAAGTAGGCAGCTCTGCTCTGGAAACAGGCTGGGAGTGTTCAGCCTGGAGAACAGAAGGCTCCAGGGAGAACTCAGAGCCCCTTCCAGTGCCTGAAGGGGCTCCAAGAGAGCTGGAGAGAGCCTTTGGACAAGGAGAAAGGCGTGACAGGACAAGGGGGAATGGCTTCAAACTGTCAGAAGGCAGGGTTAGATGGGGTATTGGGAAGTTTGCCCAGAGAAGTTTGCCCAGAGAAGTTTGCCGCTCTGCTCTGGAAACAGGCTGGGAGTGTTCAGCCTGGAGAACAGAAGGCTCCAGGGAGAACTTAGAGCCCCTTCCAATGTCTGAAGGGGCTCCAAGAAAGCTGGAGAGAGCCTTTGGATAAGGAGAAAGGCGTGACAGGACAAGGGGGAATGGCTTCAAACTGTCAGAAGGCAGGGTTAGATGGGGTATTGGGAAGAAATTGTGTGTTGTGAGGGTGGGGTGGCTGTGGCACAGTTTGCCCAGAGAAGCTGTGGCTGCCCCTGGATCCTTGGAAGTGTTATTCCAACTGTGAGTAACCTGGTCTAGCAGAAGGTGTCCCTGCCCATGGCTGCAGGGTTGGAATGAGATAATCTTTAAGGTCCCTTCCAACCCAAACTACTCTGTCAGTCTGTGATTTTAAAAAGCTGGCTGCTTGATGTTATTGCACAACAGTTTCCAGCTCAGGAGCCTCCCACCGCCCAACATCTGCGCAGCTGGCACAGTCTCCACCCCAGGGTGATGGCCACCAGGGCAGAGTCCTCCGGAGGAATCTGGCTACTGCTCCTTTGCCAGGACCCGCGACCACTCACCGTCATGATGCTCGTAGGGGAGCCAGGAATGTTTGCTGTTCTGGTGGGTGTAGTAGGAGTTGCGCTTGGAGCACTGCTGGGCACGGAAGTCCTGGTAGGGCCCCGGGCACTCCTCGGCGTTGCACACCTGGTACTCGTAGGTGGCTCCCGGGCACTGCCGCCCTCCGTATGCTGGGCTGGAAAACAAACCCTGGTGAGAGTGCTGGAGAGGGGATGGTGTTCAAGCCCGACACAGTGCGGCATCCATATTTTCTGGAAAAATCCCTACGCCCAGGGTTTTTCTCCTGGGAAGCTGAGAAGCCTCAGAGAAAAAGGAAAACAATATTATCTCATTTGCTTCTCCTGTGTTTTGCTGCTTTGGAATGTGGTTGGAGATTGTTTACCCACAGGTGATTGTTTGATTGGTTTCATGTGAATTGTTTTGACTCATTGGCCAATCAGGGCCGAGCTGCGTCAGACTCTGGAAAGAGTCACAAGTTTTCCTTATTATCTTTTTAGCCTTCTGTAAGTATCCTTTCTGTATTCTTTAGTATAGTTTAGTATTCTTTAATATAGAATAGCATCATAAATAATAAATTAGCCTTCTGAGAACATGGAGTCAGATTCATCATTCCTTCCTTCATCAGGGCACCTCTCAAATACAATAGCACAGCTCCCACAGGAACATATGTCTCCATCACTGCCAACAAGGGGAAGAGCCAGGTACCTCTGGCTCGTGGCTACTTCCAGCTGGGGAAAGGGAGGGAGGCAAAAGCCAGACGTACGGCGGGTTGTCGCAGCTCCGGCTGCGGGATCGCACGCCTCCCCCGCAGGTCCTGGAGCACGAGCCGAACTTGGACCAGGAGCTCCAGCTGCCATCCTGGCTGTAAGGCTGCTCCGACGTCTTCCAGATGCAGTGGCCCTTGAAGCACCACTGGAAGGGAGGAGAAGGAATGAGTTCCAGACCTCTTCCAAAGCGCTCAGCACCAGTGGAGAGCCCTCCTGCACTCACAGCATTACAGAAACGCTACAGCACGGGAGGAAGGTGCTCTTCATCATGCCCTTGGACACATCCCTCCCACAGGGAGCAGGACCAGCCCCTACCTTGCCAGGAGAGCACTCGGTGCCGTCCAAGGGCGGCCCCTTCTTGGTCTTGCAGAAGTAGGGGTTGTCTGGGTGGCTGCACCACAGCTGCTTGCAGGGGTCGAAGGTGCGGAACTGGGGAGCACAGAGGAGCTGGGCTGGGACAGCAGTGCCAAGTACCAGCAGGCTGGTGGCAGCCAGGCTGGCTGGGGACCCCGGGGAGGGGGGACAGCGTGGCCATACAGCCCCTACTCACCGCCGTGCACGTCTTGTAGCCCACGCCGAAGTCGAAGCGGCACTGCTCATCCATGGAATAATTAATTCCCGGCAGCTCAGGTAATGTGGGCCACTGGTGCTCAAAGGGGTCATCCAGGAGGCAGTCGTAGGAGCTGCAGAGTCAGACAGAGGAGTTCCTTCCATCACCCCATCCCTCAGCTCCAGGCCACTCTCCAAATTCAGCTACTGAGAAATTTGAATTATCATGGAATCCCAGGATGGCTTAGGTCGGAACAGTCTATCAAGGTCATAGAGTTCCACCCCCCCCTATGGGCAGGTATACCTTCCACTAGACCAGGCTGCCCCAAGCCCCAGTGTTCAACCTGGCTTTGGACACTTCCACGGATCCAGGGGCAGCCACAGCTTCTCTGGGCACCCTGTGCCAGGGCCTCACCTCCCTCACAGGAAAGAACTTTTTCCTAATATCCCATCCAGCCCTACTCTCTGTCAGTGGGAAGCCATTCCCCCTTGTCCAAAGTCCCTCTCCAGCTCTCTTGGAACCCTATTAGTCACTGAAAGAAGCTCCAAGGTCTCCCTGGAGCCTTCTGCTCTCCAGGCCAAACACCCCCAGCTCTTCCAGCCTGTCTCCAGAGGCCCTCCAGCCCTGGGAGCACCTTTGAGTACCAAAAGCCACCAGTGGGGTGTGAAGGGAGAACACGCCCTCCCAGCTGGAAGGGGCGTACTGGATGTAGCGGTTGAGCTCCTGCTTGCTGCAGCGGGACCAGTGGTAGCGGTGGAAGGCGGCCTGCACCAGCGGCGCCATGATGCTCCCCATGCTGGTCTCATCGGCGCAGCGGTTGCCCTGGCCGTCGTGCTCCATGCCCAACCTGGCGGGAAGATCCCAAGGGATTCACAGCTGCAGCAGCCCCTTTGCAAAGGGAGGGGGGCACCCCCGCAGCCAGCTCTGCCCCCACAACTTACACGTGCCCGGTCTCGTGGGCCACGACGAAGGCCGAGGAGAAGCCGTCCTCGTGGTTGAGGGTGCAGCTGCGGAGAGGGTGGCACATCCCCGTCACCGGAGCGTAGCCTGGGGCAAAGACAGGAGGGAAGGACAGAGGAGGAGAGGAGAGAGAAAACCTTTGAGAGAGGAGGGGAAAAAAATGAAAAATTTAGGGAAAAAACCCCCCACAAATACATAAGCTGGCTTCACTGCAACAGAAAGCAGAGGGGAAGGCGTTGAAGAGGAGGGGCTGCCAAGCTCACTTGGATGGACTGGCTCACCAGTGTGTGCCAAAAGCCAGCAGAGGTTGCTGTGGGGCTTGCTGGCACCACAGTGCCCTTGTGCCAACACACCTGGGCAGGCAGGAGGGCAGAAACAGCGCCCACAACACCCTGTCTGCCAGCGTGGGTGGTCATCGCCTCCCAGCCCAGGAATGGCATCCCCCACATTCTCCTTCATTTAAAACAAATAAAGAAAGAAAAAGCAGAGAAGAAAAGGCACGAGGCTCTCCCCAGAGCCCTGACAGAACCACAGCCCTGCTCCCCACGGGGCGCACCCACACATGCACCCGCCCGGCCCCAGGACCCCCGCCCTCGATCAAGTGCAGTGCAGTGGGGCAGCTGTGGGCAGAGGAATCTTCCCCCGCCCAGGCAGCAACACATCACCTCCATTTTGGTCACTTTTCCTTTCTTTTCCACCTTATTTCTGCCCAATTCAATAAACTTGTTGGCACGCTCCAGAATTTACTCCCCAAAATTTTTTTACGCGTGTTGGTTTTTTTTTAAAGGCTGACCCTTTTTGGCATCAAGGGAGTTAGTGAAGGAAGGACTCACAGGTCAGAGAGGCAAAAGCAGGGCAGGACCATGCTGGATAACCATGCCCTGGGGACTGGGATGGTGGAAGAGGAGAGCTCAGTCAGCCAGGAGTGGGCAGCAGCAGGAGAGGGGTGCTGATGAACTGAGGGAGGTGCACATCCCTACACCCACCCTGGCCAAACCACAGGGTCCACAGAGACCCCCTTCCTTGTGGGATACTTGATCCACACCAAGTCACTCCCACAAAGGGGTTTAACCATAGAGTAATAAATCAAGCCCTGGATAAATAATTTGAAAATATTTTTTTTAACCCCCATGAAACTTTCCACAAGAAAGAATAAAGTTGTGGGAAGTTTTCTCTACAAGGGGAAGGAAAATTTATCTGGTCTAGGATGAAAATTTGATAAAATCCCAACCAAAGAAGCTGTGGATAGGAGATTGGACAAAGGAGTATGAAAATTTGGATGCTCACAAAGGCAGGTTTTTGTAAGGAAGACTCCAGTAAGAACTGGAAGGAGTATAAAAGGTTCTCCGCAGGAGAATGATGACGAGAAGCAACTACCTGGAAAATATTTAATTCTGAGACAAGCATCCTTCAGCCCAGGCCAGAAAACCCCTCTGTGCCACCCACTGCAGAGGGACAAGACCTCTACAGCAGCAATTAATAATTTACAACCCATCTGTCCACTGCTATTCTAGTCAAAGGACATATTTGGGATCATTTCATGCCACACTCTGGTCCCTCATTCCACACATCCCCGAGCTTAACAGGGTGTCAGGGATCCACAAGGGCTTCATTTTGGGGAAAAGAGGTAGGAGCAAGCACAGTGTTACTATTCCAGCAGCCCAATCAGAAGGAAATTCCCAGTGGATGAGGAGCTCCTTGTGCCATGCAGCACAGCCAGGCAAGGACACGGGGATTCTGCAGGAAGTCCTGGAGATGTGTGACAAGCAGAGAGCCAGACCCGCAGGGAAAAGGGGAGGGAGCTGCTGGAAGGAGCAGCCCTAGAGCAGGGCTACTCCATGGATCTCACGACTCCTTCCCACCAAGGGGCAGCCTAGGGAGTCTCCCCCTTCTGCCAAAAAAGGTCCTCTCACCAATGCCTTTGGACACAGTCACTTTGCCAGGAAAGGTCTAGAAAAACAAAACAAAAGCTGGTATTTCACCCATGTGACTCTGGACAAAGGGACCAGGGCAGGTCACAACCCACGGTCTGCTATTTGGTGGCCACAGGACCACTGGCACAGGAGGTTTCCAGCTGGATATCTCCTGAGGTTCATCTCCTGCTGAGGGGGATCCTTTTCAGGGAGGTCATCCAAGTTAGGAGAGGTTTCCTTCTCCACCTTTCCTTCCTCCTGTGCACAGCAGGAGGACCTGTGCTACAGATCAGGGTGACAATACCCACCCCATCCACGGCATCAAATGGAGTCTCCTGACGGAAATCCAGACCTGGCCACCAGCATGGAAAAGAGGAGATGGGAATTTGGAAGCAGCAGCCTCGGAGCTGGGAAAAGTCACCTCTCCTGGTAACACCAAAGCACCTGTTTTCCTAGTGGAGCCATGAAACATCAGATTTTCCTGAAAATTTTTATTAGCAAAGCCTCTTCTCAGACCACACCAGCACAATCTCTGCACCAAGAGGGTGAGAGATTCCTGCAGTAGAACTTCTTCTTTGGTCCAGGGTTTATTGAATGCTCCAATGTCCAAGAAATAAATCCATGTAAAAACAGGTTTTAAAGGTCCTCCAGAGGACAGAATAAGGTGATTGATTGACTACATGGGGCTTCCTGGGGTATTTAATCTTTTTTTATCTTATTTTTGTATTTTTAAGGCATTTTGGTCCAAGGGGAGGACAGGTAAATGAAATCAAAAGAGCAGGAGAATAAATAAATAAAGATATTTTATCCATTCAGGTCAATGCTCTGGATTAATTCTCTGTCTCTCTCTTCCTAATCACGTGAAGAAAAAAAAAAAAAAAGATTTTTACAACCTTTTTCTGGACCTTGCTGGCCAAGAAACAGACTGTGCTTGCAAGAAAATCCTCTCACCCTTGGCTGGCTTTTCCCCCCGGCAAACTGCACATACCTGATCGAGACAAATACAGTACCTTGCATACCTGCGGGCCCAAAATCTTGCCTGGTGAGGAAGACGGCGTGGTCGTGGTGCTCGGCGTGCCGCGGGTCGGAGCGCTGCTGCGAGTGCGCCCAGCGGCACACCTGCTCCAGGCTCCGCGACGGATTGCCGCGCTCGATCAGGCTCACGGACTGCGGGGGGAGCGCAACACCACTGCTGGGCACGGCAGGAACAGGGGCTGCCCTTCCCCTGCCAGCCACGGAGGCGTTAGCCCAAGTGGGAGATAAGAAGCTTGTCCTGGTTGCCAAGCAGATTGTATTCTGTTTGCCATCTGTATGGCAGTCGTCTCCTGTTCATTGGGCAGCTTTCCTGATCTCTTCCACACCCACTCCTCCCTCCAGGGAGACTTCTGCTGATAACAGGCTATGGAATGTCACTGTGTGACTGATAAGAACTACAGCACCCCATTGGGAGATGTGAGCCCAGAGGGAGGAGCCAAGCATTCCTGCCTGGATATAATCTGGAGTTTCTGGAACAGCAGCACAGCTTCTCCACTGGATTTTCCCAGAGGAACAGCTGCCTCTTCCACTGGATCTTCAGAGGCAGACTACACCCTTCTACAGGATCCCTGCTCCAGCAGAACCACACCTGACACTCCAGGAGGATTGCAGCCACAATTCCAATTGGACTGTACCAACACCCTGACAACAGGGTGTCAGGCTGTGTTCTGACTCTGCCACTGTTGTTTTGGTCTACTGCATTGTTTATTTTATTTTTTATTTTCTTCTCTAATAAAGAACTGTTATTTCTGCTCCCATATATTTGCCTCAGAGCCCCTTAATTTCAAATTTATACCAATTTGGAGCGGGGGGGTTACATTTTTCCATTTCAGGGGAGGCTTCTGCTTTCCTTAGCAGACATCTGTCTTTCCAAACTATGACAAAGCTGCAGGAGGACTTGCTCGGGAAGCATCAGATCCAAACAGTGAGCTGAGATCTCTCCTGGATTCAAGTATCTGCTCCTTATTTTCTACATGGTCCCCTGAACCTGAGAAGTGACATAGCTGGACAAAGCAGCTGCCTCCAGAGCTGGCTTTGGGGAGGATAAATCATCCCTAACAGAGCCTGGCAGCTCCCACCCTGCTGTATCACCACAGCTCCAAATCCCTTCCCCTCCTCAGATCAACCTCCAGCCCAGAGCACAAATGTGACTGGGACAAAGCTAATTGGATTGTTGGCTTTCTCAGCTAGAGATGATGTTCCTGGTCCCACGGAAGCCTCCAAAAATGAGCCAGCCTCCATCCTTATCCCTGCTCCTCAGAACCATCCCTGGATCTCCAGGATGTGTTGGGTTTCTGCCAGCCAAGCATATTTCTAGAATAAGGAAGTTTTTTTCCAAGACCTAACCAGCCTTATTTGCAGATCACACATGAAGACATCACTGTGTTGAGTCATTAACACCCTTGCTAGAACAATTCCTGTGGGACAAGGGGCTTGCCCCAAAAAAAGTACAGAAAATCATTGTTTTAAAGAAAAATCTGGCTGCTGTGCTCAAACAAGCCTTAAAAAATAAGTGCAGCCTGAGAAACCACACCTTCTCAGGAAACCTTCCCATGCTTTTCCTGGCCATGCCCAAGCCACACGAGAGCTACAGGACAGCCAGGGAGACATTCAGGGAGATCCCAGCCCCAGCTTCTCCTCACTAATGTGCAGCTGATGTGGGAGGCCACCTCTACCCCATCATCTGCAGAGCTCTGAGGAAGCCTCTGTGGTTTTCCCACATCCCAGAGCGAGCACATAACAGCAGATCACAGCCACCCACCTCCCTGAGGGCCCCGTAGGCCAGGGGGGTATCCAGGCCCTCAGCCCCCAAAAAACCAGGCTAAGGAAGGTTCAGATTCACCCCTGCTCAGCACAGCTGTCATTTGGGCTCCAACAGCTGCCACGCTTTCCCAAGGCCGGGCTTACCCAAGTGCTAAATAAACACTAGAGCAACTCCTGCTGGATTTACCTGGCGGTATCCCACCATGATCATCCTGACCAGCACGATGTTGATGTGCACGCCCAGGGACTCGTCGTGATAAATTTCATCCACCTGAGGAAGGGAGGGAAATCCAACGGGGAAGAAGTTAAGGCCACCCCAGCTCTCAAGCCCCTCCCGTCCTCCACGCTCCCACGTTCCACACCCTTCCAGGCTTCCCAAGACCAGGTGCAAAGATGCCATCCCCCTCCTCCCACTGTGAGGAAGGTTTTTTCTCCCATTTTCCCACGTGAAACAAGCACAGAGCCAAAAATCCAAGCTGGAATAAGCCAGAATTTCCCCAGGAATGGCTCAGATGGTCAATGACATCAACCATTTCCATCAAGGGCTGTGTTTCCTCCACCTCATTTCTCAATGAGCCATTGCTCCTTTAGAATCTGAATCCCTCAGAGGGATGGAAATGCTCCAGACTCCAGCATCCAAAGGAAAAATGGCTTTTTGATACAATCCTTTGCCTCTCCCCAAAGCCAGGGCTTTCCTCAGCTGAGTCAAACCTGACCTATGGCTCCAGAAATCCCAGGAGAAGGCAACACAATGAAGAGAACAGGGAGGGCTCATGAGTCAATGAGATCTGTACCATCCTCAGCTATTAAAAATGACCTTACAAAGGAAATAACCAGCTACAACCTCTTCCTTCTGCGTTTCCAGGATGAATAAACAAATTCTGCTCCCAAATGCTACCAAGAGAATAGGACACCCAGATGGGAAATGTCCCTGAGAGCTGAGCCCAGTGATGTGGAGAGAGGCACGGAGTGGGCAACCAAAAACCCACGTGAGACCCTGCACCTCCTGCAAAGCACGTGGGAAAACATAGCCCAGGGAAGAAAAACATCCTGATTTTTGAGAATGGGGCTTTTTTTCCCAAAAACCCTCTCAAATGAACAGTTCCACAAATGGGGGTTCACTGCAGAAGTCAAAGAGCACGAATTAAGACAATTTTTAATATTGACTAGAATTCATGTTTTAATTAAAATATACGTTTTTAGCTTTGCCCAAGGGAGGACTAATTTCCCTCAGCTCTATCATAGCCTTCCAGACTAGATGAAGGTTATAAAGTCAGATTTATGGATCTTTTCTATTTTTTCCTCCATTCCTTTGGGGTTTTTCAATTTTACATCAAGGGTTAGGTGACAACTACCCTTTTACTGCTGCCCAAGTCCATGTCAGTCCCTCCCCAGTGTTTTAAAAGCCCCCATTTTGCAGCCTGGGATTCCATTTGAAATACCCACTCAGGCCATTTTTAAACCCAAAAACCCAGTGTTAACCTTTCCCCCATGACAACCAATACTCCCGTGGGGTGCCTCCGAGCCATGCAGAGAGATAATGCAAATCCTGAGCCTTGAATGCAGCAAAATTGATTATAAAAAATTAAAATTAATCAATAAACTGCCAGTCCATCCCCATTAATGCATCCCTTTGGATGCAGAAGCTGCAAGAGCCGCGGGGTATTTTATCCATCAGTGTGGAAAGATAACTCTGGTCAACCCACCCTCATCCCTACTTTCTGTGGGTGGAATGCTCCTTCACCCTCCCCTTTTGTAAGAATAATGAGAATATGATGGATTTTTTCTGATCCCACCCCTATTTTTGGGGGGATGTGCACAGAAGGGTGGAAGGTCATGCAGTGTTGCAGCTGCAAACATTACTCAGGCCTCCAGACCCACTGAGGTATTGAGAATCCAGCCCAGCAAGAAGCTGCAACTCCCCAGGGATGTCAGGCTGGGTTTTAGCATGTAGGAGGCTTTGACATCCCAGAAAAATTCCACATCCTAAGTTTGATCCCTTACAAAAATATTGGTAATATGGCAGGGTGGGAAAGCAGGGAGATAGGGAGAAATTAAAGCCATGCTTGAATAGGTGCAGAGCTGGAGCTGGGGGGTGGTTTGGGGAACAGGACAGGAAACACAACCATTTCCTTCACTTTCCCAAACCTTCACGCATTTTCCTTCACCCCCAGCAGCTGTCAGGAGCTGGAGCTCCAAAGTGAGAGAGGGCAGGGTTAGATGGGATATTGGGAAGGAACTGAGGGAAGTGAGGCCCTGGCAGAGGCTGCCCAGAGAAGCTGTGGCTGCCCCATCCCTGGAAGTGTTCAAGGTCAGGTTTGATTGGGCTTGGACCAGCCTGGGATGGTGGAAGGTGTCCCTGCCCATGGCAGGGGGTAGGAATGGAATGAGCTTTCACCTCCCTTCCATGATTTTAGGATTCTATGGTCATTCACCAGCACTCTGCTGCTTGCTGCCTGCCCCTGAGGAACCCTCAATCCATCAGGATGAGCCACGTTCCTGCCTTAGGGACCTCTCTACCAGCCACGACCTGACCTTGCTGTGAGGGGGAGCATCACATGGAGCAGCACAGACCTCTCCCTTCCCAGCTGCACAGGATATTTTGGCAGGATGCTCACTAGATCCTGCTGTTTTATTCCAAGATGGGATTTCATTCCATAAATCTTCCTTATAAAGCAGTGCTAAATCCCACTCTCCTCCAGCTCACAGGGACCTGGCACTCCCTCAGTGTGGTACTCCATTTCAGCCCTCCCTGGGACTCCATTTCAGCCTCTGAAATGAAGAGAACCTAAAGCCCAGCCCCTGTTTAGTCCAGGGTTTAGGCGGGGATCTGCACCTAACAGATACCAGCTCAGCAGTGACCTTTGGGGTTAATTCAGAAAGCAGATGTGGAACCAGACTGCCCAAGGCTACAGACCTCCCTTCACAGCCAGATATAAATCATTGATTTGGGGAGAGAAAGAATCATATCAAAAGGGCTTGGTGCTGGCTGCTGCGAGGGCTGAGACCCTGCAGGCCCCAAATTTTGGGGCAGGGGGGGAACATCAGCAGGGCCAGCTCCCCCCAAATGCTCCAGTGCCTGTGGAAGAAGTGGGAATGGAGCTGGAGGGGCTAAGCATCACCTTGGAAATGGAAATTCACCTGGAGAGCAGTTTGCAGGCTTAGCATAACTCCCTCTGCCCTCTGCAGATGCCATTAAGCAAGTCAGTGTCTTCAGAGAAACCCCTTCCCCCAAAAACAGCTGTTCAGCAAAGGGCTCCAGTAAAAAAATACCAGTTTTTATAACCCACATCCCTGAAGCCATGGGATAAAGATCTTCTTACCACTCTCATCCATGCTCAGCCTGTTTCACACCATCACCTGGCAAGAAATGCTCTCCTCTTTCATTTAAAATGGAATTTTCCCACCTATAAACAGCCCAGCCCTTGAGGCTCGCTGCGAGCTAAGGGCAAACCAGGCAGGAACAACCACCCCATAGGACTCCCCCCAAACCCTGCAACACCAAGGAGGCAGAGGCATTGCTTTGCAGTGAAAGGAACATTACAACCTGAGAGCAGGGCTGGCCTCCCTAAATCCCAGCAAACCTCTGGCCAGCCCCGAGTCTGCAGCCCCAGACGCGAGATCCCGACAGCAAAACCGCACTGGCAACGAGGTCTAGACCTCGCTGTTCTTCAGGGAAGCAAAACAAAGGGAGAGACACGAGAAGAATTTGCCAAAGCAGCAGAATAGCTGACATTTCAAAATGCCGGGATCGCTTACTCGGAACAGCCAAGTCATCTTTAAACTCCTTTCTTTTATTCCCTCGCTCGGTTTTCATGCTGGTGGATTCACCCTGAGCCTCTTTGCTGGGGCTGGGGGGTTAGGAAGGGAGGGGAATGTCCCCCTTGCCACATTTTTGGGCTTGCATAATGTATAATGTCACCTCTGTGAGGGCTATCTGTGGGGAGGAACAGAGGAAGGGGAGAATTGTTCTGCAGGGCAAGACTAGATTTGATCAGAGCTCTCTACAGAACAAAGCACATTGTCCCAAAAAAATAGCAACAAACATGTAAGCCTATACAGAGGGTAGGAAAAAGTGCATGGACACATGAGAGACATCAAAGGTATTTTTGTTATTATCAGTTAGCAAGGAAGTGGCTCATAAACCCCTCACCTAAGAAAAGAACATACACAGGTTAAAATTAAAACTGAAGGTTCAATTTTTATTCCCAAACCTTCTCTTCTGTGGGGTCTCAGTAGCACTCTTTGTTGTTCTGCCCTTGGGAAAAATAATTTCAGCTGGAGCCAGGCAAGTCCCAGCCTGGAGAGGGCTCTGACTCATGGGGTTTCCCTAGTAACCCAAAACAATGGGAAAACACCAAGAACCTTTGCATCCTTAACCAAATCATGGGCAATAGCAGACAAAAGCCCAGGAACCCAGTTGAGGCCAGGGCCAGGTTTGACACAGCCACAGCTTGGCTTCTCCCCTCCAAGCAGAGCCACCCCCAGACCTGAAAGGATCAGGGATGAGCAGTGGGAAGTCTGGTGGAGAAAACCAACAAGCCCACCTCCCTGAAGGCAAGAGACTGGAAAGCAGAGCCAAGCACTGAATATTTCCTCTCCTCTTCCTTTTCCATGGTGCTGGATCCCCCCCTGGTTCCCAGCCCTTGATCTCAGCAGCCACCATGGCTGGGGGATCCCAATTTTCCTTCTGTAACACCACAACCCCTGCCACAGGCAGCAAGCAAGAGAAGGGAATGGCTTTCCAGAGCCACCACATCACCAAACATTCATCCCAAGAGTCCAAGAGAGCAGTTTTGGTTAGGTGGACACAGCAACACCCAGCTTGGAGCAGAGATACGCTCAGCAGAAGGGGAGTTGTGCCTTTCCCACTCACTCCAACCTGACCCCAAATTCCTGGGCAGCATCTGAGCCAAAAAGGAAAGGGCAGGCTGGGAATGCAGGCTGGGAGCTAGCAGGGAAGGCAGCCTGCCTGCAGGGAAGCTCTAAGGTGCACAAAAGGAGCAGTCATCCTCATGTCAGCTCCCCGGGATGGACACAGCGCCCTTCACTGAAAAGCATCCACATTTCTGGCAGTGAAAGAAGGGCTGTGGGGTTTGTTTCTTTTCAAAAAACAACCTCCTCCGTGACAAATCATTTATCACCAAGCTTCAGCCGACACAGAGTTCCTAATAAAGGGTTTTGTGTCTTGGGAAGAGCCCCGGGACCCTACCTACAGCAGCGCTGGGAAGGGATGCGTGTCCCACTGCTCCCCCGGCACTCCGTGGAGACCTCAGGGAAAGCCGGGAGAGTTTATCACTGCTTCCAACCTTGCTGCCCCCTTTCCTTGGGATACATCTTGATAGGAGAGCTCCTAGACAGGAAAGCTTTCCCAGCTGGCTCCCTGATGTACTCCAGCCCAGCTCGTTAAGTCCTTTCCTCGTTAGAGGGCTGGCCAAGCCTCTTATCCTTCTTCCCTTTGCCTCCAACTAATTGGATTAATGTTCAGCTGTGTGGTCCCAGCAGGCTCCTCCCCGCCAGCCCCCCGGCATCCTCCTCTCTCCCTCCCTCCCTCTGCCACCCAGGCCAGAAAGCAGGACTCTCTTTTTTCTGCTGAATCGGGTGTTTCAAGGCAATCCGAGCCGGTAAGGAAACGAGGCGGCGCCAAGGGAAGAGGAGGCGGACGGAGGTCACGGCAAAGCTGGAAAGAAAACGCACTAAAAGCCAGGAAGAAAGAAGGGGAAGGGGGTGGGGGGGAGAACATATAGAAGGAAATAATACTTTGGGGGGAAGTATTTGTTGCCTGTATTATCCTGGGGCTTTCCCCCCCTCATTAAAGTCTCCAGCGCCGCCTTTCATTCAATAGGCAGCGGGTCCTCCCTTCTCCCGGCACAGCATCCCCTGCATTCACTCCTTGAAAAGTCCTGCCCGCGGGGTAGGAACCATGAAATGCGCCTGAGAACCGACCTTTTGATTAGAGCTGACAATCCCCGGGCGCTCAAACTGGCCATCCCGACACCCCCTTCCCCCCCGGGATCGGAAAGGAAAAATGACATCATCTCCGACCCCCTTAACGTGGGAAGGGCTGAGCCGGGAGCTCTGTGGCTTCCCCCTGGCAGGAGGATTTCATAGCCGAGGGGAGGAATGTTCGGAAAGTGAATTTTAGTGATGCTGAGAGCATCGGGATAACGTGCCAGAGAACAGAACATGATGAAGGTGTTAGCTTCTTCAACATTTTCCCTATTCAGGACCAGCCACTTCACTCATCCTTCACCTCATCACGCTCTAATCTCACAAATCCTCCCCCTGATCCATGTCGATAATTTCCCCTTCATTGCCAGCCATGTGGCAGAAATAATGTCCAAACCAACAACCAAGCACCCAAAAGCATCTTTATAACTTGGCCATTCTGGGGCTGGTTGAGCCTTTTGAACATTTTCCACCACTACGTCAAAGAACACTTAAAGAAAAGTAAATAAATAGAGGTGAGAATAGAGCATGGAAAACAAAACAAAACTGGGAGAGAGAAAGAGATCCTTGAGCATAGACCTTATGTGCAGACATTCAGGTGCTGGAGCAGCAAACCTCCCTCAAGATGCCTGGACGAATAAATATTGATCCTTCCACATCTCTCAGGACTTGGGGAATATGGATGTTTTTATCTTAGAAAGGAATGAAAAGGGGTGTAAGGAACCAGCACAGGCTGCCCCACGCCTCGGAGTGAGGAAGGGTGCAGGAACTGTAAAGCTGCTCTAAACTCCTTTTCAAACATATCCTGAATGGTTATCCAGGTGCACAGGTTTCCAAAAAGCTCCTGAAAACCTATAAAAATATTTCCTCTACCAACAAATAGTATTCAGAATAAATCATGAACATCAGCGCTGCAAAACAAATTACAGATATTGTAATTTCTAACTAAGTAAGCCATGACCATTCTCTTTTCTAGCATTTGCTGAGAATTCAGTGATGAAGAGGAAATGTTCTCACCCAGGAGAAACTTTTGGACTCAGGTGACAATGACAGCACCAACATGCCAGGCCCTGCCATTGGCAAGGGGAAGGTGATGGAGATGAACATGAAACAGCTCTGCTCTCCATCCCTCCAGTTCCCACAGCTATCAAACACCAGAGCGGGCGGTGTGAAGGCACAGCCCTTCCTGCAGCACTGCTCCCCCTCCCAAACCCATTTCTTTTCCCAGGATAACAGATTTGCAGCATCACAAGAGCACTAAACCCAGGCAAGGGTGGGATCCACACCCCCCAGAGCCCAGCCTTACTATGTTCATGAGGGTGAGGACATAGTTCTGGACGTGCTCCTTGCCGTGGAAGCGCACCACAGAGTCATCCACGGCCAGCAGCACCTCGATGTTGTAGTCATCCTTCCTGGCGTGGCGCCGCTTGCGCTCCGCGTCCCCCAGCCGCGCCGCCATCAGCTCCAGGGAATTCGGGAGCTCACCCACCTGCAGGCCGGGCGCTGGGCAGGAAGAGAAAGAGCCTTTCAGGTGATCTGACACCATGGTGATTCTCCACAGGAGTAGAGATTCAGTAGGGAAAACAGATAAGAGAGTTAACTCTAACGGGATATGAGCTCCGGCTGGTTGCTGGTCCAGCTCGCCTGGTGGCAGGGAAATGGCTCTGAATTGTGAAGACCAGCACTAAAAGACATGTTAATGATTGGACTCGAGAACCATAAAGGTTTTTTCCATACTAAATGATTCTATGATCTGTTAAAAAGTCAAATCAAGGCCACATTTCATAGAATCATCACAGAATGGTTTGGGTTGGAAGGGACCTTAGAGCTCATCCTGTTCCAGCCCCTGCCAAGGGGACACCTTCCCCTATCCCAGGCTGCTCCAAGCCCCATCCAGCCTGGCACTTCCAGGGATCCAGGGGCAGCCACAGCTTCTCTGGACAACACCTTTCAGTACTTCAACACTCTCACAACACGGGTGATCAAAGCTAGGCTGCAGCACCTCCAGCCCAGCATTTGCTTTCCTTCTTGACTTGAGCAGTTAAACTGAGCCTAAAGCCACAGGGTGAGACATCCAAGGGCTCGTGGAAGGAGAAATCCTCTCCCCAGGTGAAATATTTATTACCAGTTGCTGGGAAAGACGGGATTCCAGCAGGGCCTACCTTCGGGATGGAAGTCGTGGCGCGGCTCAGCGCCATCCTGCCGGATGGCCGAGCGCCGATAGACCACGTGGGCCCTGCCGTGCTCCTCTGTGTCCTGCTGGCCCCGCTCCAGGGGCTCGATGAAAAACTCGTTGCTGTCTGTCCGAATCAGGCCAGCCTGGACTCCACAAAGAAACAAGGAAAAGGGGAGAAACAAACAGTGTGGTTTTGTGTAAGTGTAGGGGGACACATACTCAGTATGCTCGTGAAAGATTGATGCAGAGCGCGCACAAAGAGGAAAGGCATCCCAAATAATATTGTTTTGATCCTACTCCATGACACCAGGATGGTTCTAATACCATGTTCATCTATGACAACCCTTAATATCTCCTGTAGTGGGGAAAAAAGTAAGCATAGAAAAAACAAGCAACAACAAAAAAAAAAAAACACCCAACCTGGCTGCAACTCAATTTATGTCTTTATATGGCTACAAAACTATATTCTGTCTCATCCATGACTTGTGCTAGACCCTGAACTCAGGGATACAAGGCTGAAGAGGCTCCCAAGGCACTCCTGAGTCTCCCTGAACCCTCCCCATTCCATTCCTGCAGTGCCTTTAGGATATCTGCCATTTCACTGACACAATGAGCTGCAACAAGAAGGAAAGAGAAACCATTCTCTCTGCCCCACGAAGTACTTGGGAATTAACACAGGGGAATCCCGCTGGAGAAGAAGCTGGAAAGCATTACAACTCCACCTCCCAAACACAGGGAAGATGAATGACAGGGCAAACATCACTGGAAATGTTGTCCTGGCTACCGACCTGCTCCTAATTAACACCAAGCTCCCATCAAATCCCCCTTACATCAGCCTGAGCGCTCACACCCCGCAGCGCCGGCCGGCTCAGACCTCGGGCAAGGAAAAGGATCACCAGGATTTGGCTTCTCTCCCACGGGCAGCCCCCCCAGCTCGGCATTTTTCCCAGCTCCCTCCATGGCGCACGCGCGCGTTCCTCCCTGCGGCGCTGCCCGCTGCTGAAGAGCTGCCTGGAAAGCACCAGCAGAACATTGGGATCTGTTCTTGGGGCAAAGCCTTCAGCAGGGTGGACCTACTGGAGTCCTTGTAAGGGTGTTGGGGTGTTGGAATGGCCCTCATCAAATAAAATAAAATAAAAGTAACATATATACAGAGATGTATTCTGGGCAGAGGCTGGGGCTCTTCCAAGCTTGCCTGGCTCTTTGGGTCCCCTTCGTGTTCACGTCCCTTTGGATTCATCAGGCAATGGCCAACCTGGCTCTGTTGGATTCCACCAAATTTCCTGCTCCACTTGGGTTCCATTAACTGCTGTAAAGTGGGGTTTTGGCTGGTTTTGTTTTACCTCCTTCCTGAGGAATCCAAGTCCTTGCCTGACACACGTATCTCAGGGTCTTCCCACAGGAGACATCCAGGTCAAACCAGGGCAGCCAGGGATTGTGCCCCCCACCCTCAGCCAAGGAGATGAAGAACACAGCCAGGTTTAACCAGGGGCACCAGGCAGGGTGGTGGTGAGGGGGCAGGGCACAAGCCAGGGAGTTAAACCAGGTTCAGTGATGGATGGGCAAGGCCGTGATGATGGGGCAGGGCACAGAATCACGGAATCCTTTAGGCTGGAAAAGCTCTCCAAGATCATTGAGTCCAACCATTGACCCAGCACTGCCAAGGCCACCACTAAACCACATCCCCAAGTGCTACATTTATACATTTTTTCAATCCCTCCAGTGATGGGGAACACAAGCCTGTGCCAGGGCCTGACAACCCCTTCCATGAAGAAACTCCTAATTTCCAGTTCCAAAACACTGCTCTTTATTATACAGTAAGAGAAGGAGCAGAAGCAGCCCCTGCCCCAGGAGGAGCTCTTCTGGGACACCACTACCCCCTCCCAACCCTGCCACGGGGCGTTTCACTCGGGACCAGGCACCCCAAAGCCGGTTTATGGGTTTAGGGCCAAAGCCGGGACTTGCTGAGTCAGGCGGCCGGAGGAAAGCCGTGCCGCCGCGCCGGGGCAAGGCTGGATTAACACGTGAAAGAGCCCGGTCCCAAGCCACAGCCCACTTGGGTCTGAGCTGCTCTACAGCTCGTGACTAATTATATCTGGCTCAAGGAACAAAGCAGCCCAGACTTCCTCCCGAAGGTGGGATGCAACACGCCGCCGACTCCGGGGATGGCCGACGGCAAAGGGGATAACACAGGGATTTTCGTGTCCACCTGATCAGAGCAGCCCAAGAAATGAAACAGAAGCTGCAAGTGGTCACCCTGGCATTCACAAAAATAAATTTAAAAATCAAAACAACCCAAAAAACACCATTGCAAGAGGCACACGCCAGCCTGCCAGCTCACAAAGAGGAGCAGCTCAGGTTGTATTTCAGCATTTTGGGAGGGCTGTAACAATAGAGAGGCAGCAGAAAAGGTCAGATGCCACCCAAAAAGTTCCACTCAGATTTTCTTGGGCTTCTTCCAAGAGCTCAATCCCATCCCCAGTGATCAATTAGCCATATGCTTCCTACCCTTGATTTTAATTTGGTTTAATAATACCAAATCAAATTAAATCAATTAGCGGGACTATTACCATTGCTTTTCCTAACATGAGATGCTGTCTGCAGCTCTCAGTGAAGGTACTGCCCAACTAGAAAATGGCCCTTTAAAGACAATTCCACTGGAAAGAGGGAAAACATACACCAAACTCACTCCTGCCAGCTCACAGAGGGTGAAGTGTTTCCTCCAGGTCTCCTGTGCCTCCCCAGGCTAAGGGAGAGATGAACTTCTGCCTCACTAAGAGGGACCCCCCAGGACCCTGAGTAAAAACTCTTCCTCCACTGCTGGGTAAAAAGCTCCAACTCCCACAGGAATACAGGAAATTCTGACACTTTACCCAGCTGAGATGTGGGAAAATTAATAAAGCTGCTGCACTAGACCAGGGAAGCTAACAGCAGGGGGAAATCCAGCTGCGAGCACAGGATATATTTTTTCCTACAAGATTCACACATAATTTGGACAAAAAGTCCTAGAAAGCCAGGCAGTGTGAACACAGACACCATGGATAACAGCGCTCCCCTTCCATCCAGAGGGCATCAGGCATGGTCCAGAGGTGCTCCATCACTATTTTCATGCCTCTCTGCAGCACAGGCTTTGCAGCCCATCAAACACAACACTTTGCCTTCCTTGACTCCTTTTCCCTGCTCTTTGTGCCAAAACGAGAGGTTTCTGGGGTGGCTACAGACCAGGTTTTGCCAGGTGACCTGAGCTCAAATGTACCTCCTGGTGGAATGGGGATATGAAGACACACTCGGCACTAATTAATTAATTGGATTTTCAGCCCAAGCAGGGCCTGGTTTGCATCTCACTGCCAAAACTTGGGATTATCACCTGGGAGAAGAGCCCTCATATCCATATAACACCCACACCAGCTGAGGCCAGTGGGATCTATGTGACCAAAGGGACATCTCACACCCTTTTCCTCCCCAGAATTAACCCTACAGCTCAGGAACTGCAAGGAAAATCCTGGAAGACCAAGCCATGCTTTTTTCACCGGGGCATCATTTTGAGGGGCTGTTTCTCCCTCCATTCCCTATTAATTACTGTTTCTAAGGGCTTTTATGTTCTGCTTATCTGCTGCCACCCATCTGAAGCAAGCCAGAGCCACAGGGATGGAAAACGCTGGCTCTACAGTTTGCAGCACTACGGCAAATCACCCCAGGGCAAAGCTAGGCACACAAATATGGTGTCTGTGGGCGATAATCCTTCACCCATCCCTGCAAACCAGCAAAGCAGGAAGGAAGCAAGCTCAACCACACGCTGCTAAAGCCGGCGGGGAAAAATCTGGGATGCCTCCACTGCAGCGAGACGTGTCCGCCGGCGGAGATTTCTGCCCAACGCTGCTTTACCAGTCAGGAATTTGGTGGCTTAGATCAGCTTTGAAATTACGTTATGGGCCACAGCACCTTCCCACCCTGGTACGAGACACCCTTGCAAAACATGAAAGGCCAGATTCTCACGCGTGGATGCCCTCGGCGAATGGCAGCCGTGGAAGGTGCCACGGCTTTGGCATCTGGGAAAAGGATGGGCTCGCTTACGTGGCTAAATATGGATTTAGGAAACACTTTGGGTGGACTGGCTTTTTCAAGAGCCGGCTTCGGGTTTTGGGGTTTTTTTTCTTCCTCTCCTCTCCTGCACTTTTCCCCCTGTTATTTATAATCTCGGTCTCCGTTTACACACGGCCTAATCTCTCTGTGTACACAGCCCTCATCCGCAGCATCCCGGAGCGCTTCCTCCGGCCAGGAAGCGGCGGCCAAGCGCGGCCCCGCGCCTCCCACGCGCGCTATACCGGGATGAAAAGCCACAATCCCCTCCCGAAGCTCATGGACAACTTCCAGCAGAAGTCCACAGGAATTCCAGGGTCCTTGCTGATGGAAGAGTTTCCTCCAGCCCATCAGCAACACTCCTGACCATGTACATCCCTCAAAGATGTTCTGCTGCTTCTCAGGTCATCAACATCATCCTGCCATCCCATCCACACCTAGAGCCAGGATTTGGTTCCTTTTCTTGCTCCGTTTCCTGAATCAAACTCTTCTCACTGCTTTTTGGGAATCCTCTAGATCTCCCCACTCCTCCAAAGCTGAGATCCTGAGCAGATTGAAGATGTCGGGCTCACTTAAACCAGAGGGCCACACAGCCAGAAACCCATGGGAAAAAGAAACCAGCCGTGACCTTGGATGTATCACAAGGGCAAGGGAGCCAAGCACCTGCTTGTCCCCTCAGCTTCATGTCCTTCATCAGATCAGCTCTGGAAATTCCTGGTGGAAACCAGGATATCAATTTGTTGGCCACCCAGCAATAAATTTATTGTGGGAAATAGAAAAAAAAATCCTTATTGTGGGGGAGAAGCCACTTCTCCCTTTACAGGGGCTTAAAAGGGTGGGCTTATCCATGGGTGGCAGGATATGGCTGCATAAATCCACATGGAAAAGCATCCTGTGGTACAAGCTACACCCTAATCCAGCTGGAACAAGGGCAAAAAAATGACAAACAACAAGGTGTGCAAGGGGCTGTGACAGGAAAACACAGGGCTAAAGCCTAGGAAAGCCTGGAAAAGTTAAATTGTTTGGGATTGACACTAATTTGGGATTGACACTAACAATAGAGTGGGCTCTGGGGAAGAAAATTCCCAGAGCTGTGCCACAGCAGGACAGGGATCAGCTGCCGATGGCCTCCAGCATCCTTTAGCTGGTGATGCCAAAGGGAAGGAGATCTGCCAGGGAAGCTGCACACCCCAAACCCTGATCTCTGCTCCAGCCTCAGCACTCTTTGCTGGGTCTGTAGGAAATGCCTTTAAAGCTTTAAGCCTCCCCACACTGGCCAGCCCCAGAGCAATCTGTCTCCCAGAGAAATGTCTGCAAGTCCACAGCCTCAGCCCATTCCCAAAAGGATGCTTCAAAAGGTGTGGATTATGTGCTAAAAAAGTTTAATTCCTATATGTAGGCGAAATACGTATTTCTAGCTGTGCTGCTCTATCATTTCTGATTGTACAGTAGCATCAGGAGCTGTATAAAAAGAAAGGAATGCCAAATTGTTTGTGCTGGTAGCCAAAATTGGCTGAAGGAGCTCCCAGAATAAAACAACTAAAAAAGAAATATATAAAAAAAATTTAAAAAGGCACAAAATAAGGCATTTCTTCCAACCCGTAAGTGGTAGCAGGAGAAAACAGCAAACCCTGGCACCTAAAACAAGATTTAAATTGGCTCAAAGGAAATCTGAAGGGCAATGGGCCAAGGGTATTAAAAAATAAGCGCTTCCCCAAGCGTATCAAAGGTAGGGAACCCACAGGCAGAGCAGATGCTGGGGATAATGAGGTAACAGAGCCATTTAAAGGAATTAAAGCGCTGTGGCAGCAAGTTACTGATGCTGAACTGTGCTCAGAAAGCCAAGTATATCTGAGCCCCTGAGTGATTAGGGGGGAAAAAAAAAAAAAAGAAAAAGATGCTTGGTGGGAGCCAGACTGCAGCCAGCAGTGATTTCAGGAGGTGCTCGAGCTCACACAGCATCATTTAAGAGGTGGGAAACACAGAGGAAAAGTTCCCAGAGCAGTCCCAAGGTAGAACACGGGTGAGCAAGGATGGAACAGCATCAGCATGAGTGTGGATGCCCATCCCAGGGGCTGGGCACAGCCCATGGAGGTCACAGCATCTGGGCAGGAGGCACTTCAGGCACAAGGCTGGCAACTTTTCCAAGCCTTTTAAATAAATATTGGTGCACAGACCAGCCTGATGGAGCAGGCAGGTAACACCACACATCACACAGGGAAAGGGGGCCTGCTGCTGTCGAGGCCCATATGGCACAGACACCTAAAGCATCACAAAAAATCGGGGTTTCAGGACGCCAGGGTTCATCTCTGAGGAGGAAACTGCACCAAAACACAGGCAGCACACACAAAGCACCTGTGGTGGTTTTGCATGGGAGGCATTTAGGGAAGTGATAATTTTACGTTTTGTTGCTTTACGTTGTCAGTGAAAAGACAATGTTGTGAGAAGAAGTATTCTGAAGGTTTTGTTCTGATTTTTACTACTCTTTCTTTTAGTTACTGCTAATAATTTTTTTCTTTATACTCTAAAAAAGTTTGAGCCCACATTACCTTTCTCCTAATCCTACCTCAGAGCAAAAAGGTAAGTACACTAGTGATTATCCAGCGCTAAAACCCACCACACCCATTAGCACACTAACCAGAAAATTAACAAAACCTCAAACTAAGGAACCAACCCCACTCCAGCACCCCACCAGCCCCCAGCTCACCAGCCCATCGCAGTTGCTGATGGCCACGGCAGCTCCAGGCATCCCGGAGATGTCACCGCTGAAGAGGCACCGCCGCTGCAGGGGCTCACGGAACAGCACCTCAAAATCCTCCTGCCACTCCGCCACGGCCCCCGGGGGCACCAGCCGCCGGTTGGGGCTCAGCCGGAGGTGCAGCTCCTTCCCAAACACCGTGACGTTGAAATAGAGCCAGCGGCGCTGCGGGGGCTCCTCCGGGGGGCTGCGGGGGACGCGGCGGCGGGACGGGGATGGGGACGGGGACGGGGACGGGGATGGGGACAGGGATGGGGACAGGGATGGGGACAGGGATGGGGACGGGGGACAGGCGGGCTGGCCGAGCCCCGCCGCCGCCTCGCCGGACACCACGTGCGACAGGAAGCGGCCGCGGCAGTCGGTGCTGAAGGGGACGATCACTCCATACTCGCTGAGCTTGCCGGACAGCAGGAGCTCTGCGGAGGCAAAGCGCCGTGGGCACGGAGCATCCCGCCGGGAACCGGGGGCCAGCGCAACCGGGGAGCCTTGGCGAGCACGGCCGGAGCTCGGCGAGCCCCGCGGCAGCTTTCCCGTCCCGACGCAGCTCCGCTTTGTAGTTTTAAGCGGGTGCGTCCAACGTAGCAGAAGGAACTCGGGCTGACGTCCCCTCGCACGCCAAGCACGCCAACTATTTCTCGCCCAGCCTCCATCTCCCCCGGCTCCCACTGGAGCCTGACCCCCAGCAGCGGGTTCCCCCTCGCTGCTCCCCATCCTCCGGCAGCCACCTGTCAGCCCCCCGGCCCCCCAGCCCCCCGTACCTGGGGCGCTGCCGGCGGCCAGGCAGCCGTGCAGGGGGACGAGGCAGGAGAGCACCAGCCGCAGATAATCCATTTGGGGCCGGCGGCGGGATGCGGGGCCGGCGGGATGCGGGATGCGGGGCGGGCGGCGCCCGGCGACCGCCTCCCCCCGCCGCCGCCGCCGCCGCTTCTGCCGCCTCCCGGGCGGCGTGGGGCGGGCCGGGGGCCGGGTCTGGGCCAGGGGGTGGGAGGTCGGGCTCCTTTTAATTTAATTCCTTTGGATTTTTTTTCTTTTTTAAATTTTAAACATAGTTTTCTTATTAAAGACGCGGGGGTGGTGAAGGGGGTGGGGGGAAAAGTTCTCGCGTTGCCTGTGGATCGTTCTTTTCTTGGAGATTTATTAAAAAAAAAAAAAAGGAAAAAAAAAAAAGAAAAAAAAAAAAAGAAGCCTTTTCGGGCAGCCCTACCTCCTTCCTTTCCTCCCTCCCACCATCCCGCCTCCCCATCCCTCCCCGCCCCGCGGCCGCCGGGCTCCGGCGCTGCCCGAACAAAGGCGAGAGGCGGCGGGAGCGGGGCAGCGGCCCCGGCTCTGCCCCCGTGCCCCGGCCCCCCCTGCAGCGGGACCCCGCACGGAGATGCTCCGCGGCGAGAGCCAAATCGTCTCCCAGCTTAGGGCGCTGCCGCCGCTGTGAGCTGGAGGTAAACATCCCGTTTGGAAACACCTGGGATGTTTTCCAGATGTGGAAACAGGGAAACTGAAGATGCCCCATTCCTGGCGGTGTCCAAGGCCAGGTTGGATGGGGCTTGGAGCAACCTGGGATAGTGGAAAGTGCCCCTGGCCATGGCAGGAGGTTGAAAAAAACACCGAGTTTTAAGGTCCCTTCCAACCCAAACCATTCCATGATCCCATTTATTTTTTTTCCTTCCCTCTCCTCCTGTTTTCTGGGGGAAACAGACAGAAGGAGGTGCTGGCCTTGCTCCTGGATGCCCTCTTGCTGGTCTCCAAGGAAAACCCACACTCCTTGGGTTTTCCAAAGGGCATCACCACAACTCCAGAGCTGGGACCCCACAGTTCAATGCGTGCTGTGCTTCCTCAGGCTCCTCCTCCTCCTCACCGCCCTGACAAGGGGCAAATAAACCCGGTACTCCCCTAAAAAACCTCAACAGAACTCAGCAAACCCAGCACCGTGCTAAAAGGGCTTTCCCATCACAGAACCATGGAATGGTTTGGGTTGGAGGATCAAGATCATGGTGCTCCACCCCTTTGCCACGGGCAGGGACACCTTCCAGCATCCCAGGGTGCTCCAAGCCCCAGTGTCCAGCCTGGCCTGGACACTGCCAGGGATGGGGCATCCATCAGCACAGAGAACAAACCTCCTGGCACTGTTTCCATTTGCTGTGTCCAGCTAATTTTTTATTCTGGACGGGACTCCAAGACCTTCTCCAGGGAGGGTGCTGAACACCAGTAACACCAGTTGTGCTGGTTGTGCTGGGATTTCACTGCCCAGTGGCTCTTCGGGTTACACTGAGCAACCCAAAACCTTTCCCAAGAGGTAACTCCTGCCTTGAGGAACTTGTCATCCAAGCTGCCACACAGGCCAGAGCACGAGGGAAAAGGCAAGCAGGGAAAACAACGTGCCAGCCTGCAAGCTTCCCGTCAGGAATTAGGATTCTGGCTTTGGGTTTCTTTGGTGGGACCCCAGCTGGAGCTTTGTTCCCAACCCATCAGCACAGCAATGCCCAGAATGGCAGGAAAGGGTCACCACTGGGGAAAATGCCCTGCTTCCCTCCACTGCAGGTGTGGGAGGATGCTGGGGCTGCTGGGTGCCAGGAGGAGGATCCAGAGGTGGAGATGGGGAACCCCTTGGAGATGGTCCTGCTGCAGCCATTTTTGGTGAGACACCACTCTCCTGTGCTCTGCTGCCAGAGCATCCCTCCAGAGGAGGGTGGAGAGCCTCGCCTTCCAGCTGGGTGATTGGGTTTTGGGGCAAAGAGGAGAAGCTGAGGCCACAGTGATCAAAATCCAATCCAAAATTCCCTGTAGCTAAAGCCACAGGATGCCTCCAAAAGGAAAGAGGAATACACTTACTTCAAGCAGAAAATTTCAAGCTGGAAGAGAAACAGATTTTAATTCCCAATTTAAGTATTTTCATGCTTCTGTTGCTTCATGCAATCTATAATTAAAGAGGAGAAATGATCTGCAAGAGATTCTTTTCAGAAGAGATAGAAAAAGAATTTGTGCTCGGAGCATTTCGGATGATTGTGGAAGATACTGGAGCATCAAAGCTGGAATGAGCCCTTATTCTGGCTGAATAGATTTATGAGGAAACATGGAATAAAGGGCATACTTTACTTGTGAAGAACAGCTCTGGAAAACATCATTTAATTACTGTTTTTCAGAGACAAAAACTATTTCTTCATCCACAAGGTCTGTGAATTCATCCAGTCCCTCTAGACCTTTATGCCTCCCCTGATGTTACCAAATCTCTGGCTTTGGCAGCAAAAACTTGGCTGAATGACAATGCCAATGACCTGACATACAACTTGCCTCATTTATTACCTTCTAAAGCTAATCATTAAACATGTTTGAGTACCTGTGACATGCTGGATCTGGTGAAAAAACAACTTCCAAGAGGATCTCTCAGGCTCCTAGATGACAAGATGTTCATTTGTCACCCACACAGTGACACTAAGTGTTGGTCTTATCTGCCTGAAATATTCATATAATAATATTAGTGTGGGTTTTGGTGTTATCTCTGTCATTTAAGTCAGAAAATTTTATTTATTCCAGCCTTTTTCTTCCCAGTTCTTGTCATAGAGGAGAGAAAGAGAAGCAGCAAGGCAACTTCCCCTTGTCCTTTCCCTCGTGTCCTTCCCCTCTGCTTTGCCCCCTCCATCCTCCTCTTTGTCTCCTGGCTTTGCCTTTCCCAGCCTTTAACTCTATCCCACCCTTCTCCTTGACTTTAAGCTTAACCTTTTCCTTTCCATTTTGGGGTCCAAATAGCTCCTTTCCGTGTTTTTCCCCTCACTGGGTGCTATTTTACCTCATGTCCCCATTTCCCCCATGGATAATGCACTCTGGAATCCTTTATGATTCAAGGCTTCCCTCTGCAGCCTGGAGGTTTACCAGGGACATGGGTTTGGGGACTTTCCCATTATTTAGGTGACCTCTAGGCCTGGGGAGGAGCAGGTTTTCCTTCCAGCTTCCAGAGAAGAAAGCTGACAACAGCTGCTGTTTCTAAAACCCCAAAGCAGGCTCCTTTTCCTGCAGGAGGCTCCAGCCAGAATTCCCAAAGCCTGATTTTCATCTGGCAGTTCCTGAAGTGCTGCAGTGTCCAAGCCCTGCCTGTCCCACCAGGTACCACCCAGAGCCAGAGACCAGGTGAAATGTTCCAAATCCCCTCCACCAGCAGTAGATGCAGCTATTGACCCCCAAATCAAATTAATCTTGATTTTGAGGGCTGGAAAAACCTTCACAAAAGGCTGGAAGTATTTCTTACAAGAAAAAACAAAACAAAAAAAAAACCCAAAAACAACAACAGACAAACAAAAAAAAACCCCAAAAAACAAAATTAAAGCCCCCACTTAATTGTGTCTATTTTTGTGCCTTTATGGGCGCTGGTTGTTTTGCTCAGCTGTGCAAACCTCCTGGAGGGAAGGGCATTAGGGCTAATAAAATTGTAGCAATCCCCACCAATTACCTAAACTGGCTTTTCTGCCCGTAATATCATGAGTTTGGGAGCCAGGAGCTCGGGGTGTACCAGAGGGAGAAGACAAGGCTGTATTTCCAGCCCTAGCTCACCACATGCCTTCTTCCCAGAGATTTAAACCTTCTGTTAATCCCAAAGGCTCTGAAACAGCTGCCCCTGAGCTCAGGTTGCGCAAACAGCTCCTCACCATGGGCTGATTTCAGAAGTGGTCAAAATCACCAAAAAAAAAAATTAAAGGAGAAGAAGGAGGGGGAAAGTGTTTTGCAGCTGTTTGGGTTAGTCTGAGGTTTTAAAAGCAGCTGGAAGAAGGAAGAAGCGCTGGGAGGGATGGCACAGGTAAATTGGGCAGGGGGCACAGCCAGGGATTTTACCTGATCCTTACCCCCATCCAGGTGCAATGCATCGATCATTGTCACTGCTAGAAATGAAGGGTTGGGACTATTTTCAGGCTAAGAACCATTTATTGCTGAGATAAACATCAGTCTCAGAGGCTGTGAGGTTTTAGAGGAGCGAGCAGTCGGCCATAGCTCAGAGTAGTCATAAATTCTTTGTTACAGGGCAATACAAAACTTTCTAACCCCATGGAGAGATGCCACAAGGTTCATTTTGCCTTTCTAACCTATCACCTTTACTTACTTCTGCTGCACTGTGGGTACTTTTATCCCATTATGGCTTCTAACATATACACACAGATGCTTCTATTATACCTTCTAAACTCTCTTTATTCCATACAACCCCACCCCTACATTACAAACCCTTCACCATTTTATCAACACAGTTTCTCACTTACTTCAGGCATATTGTTACTTACAACTATGGAAGCATAAATTTATTATTTTTCTGCTTAATGTCTGTGTATTGTATTTTTACATCAACCCAAGCTTCTCCCAAGAGATCACAGCAGATCAAACCCTGCTGTGTCTGTGGAAGTTTCTATTTTTCCAATTCCCGCACGCATCCACGCTCAGAGCAAGGCAAAGCCGGGCGGGGGAAGCATCCCAACCGCACCGTGCGGGGACCCGGAGCCTCAGCGGGCTCCAATCGCGCCCTGCTCCGCCAAGGGAGGGAGGGATGGAGGGAGGGAGGGATGGATGGAGCAGGAGCCCGGCGGGCTGGGGCGAGCGAGCATGACCTCATCCCTCAGCCACGCCGAGCTGCCCCGGGATTAGCGCAGGGAGCAGCCGCTGGGGCAGCAGGGGAGGGAAAACCCCCGAGCACCTTCCCCTCCCTCTGCACAGCAGCCCCTGGCCGGGAAACACCCCCCTTCCAGGATTTCAGCTCCTTTCGGGGGTTTTTTAGGAGTCCTGCTGGAAGAGCACGAAGGAGAGTGGCGAAGATGTTGTGCTGGTCCAGGAGAGGAGCAGGAGAAGCAGAGCCTGGATTTTGGAGCAGGCAGGCAGGGAGGGAGGGAGGGAGCTGACAGACTGACAGACACATCATCTGGTCTCCGGCTGCCCCGAGGCACGATCATTCCTGGCAGA